GTGTTGGCATAGCTATGAGAAACCAGACGTAAGTAATTAAACGTGACACATTCAAATAAAAAATGGTAACATTAGTTAGTAAGCTACTTAATTATAACAATTAGTTCCCTTTAGAAACTTCGACAAAACAATAAGAAGACGTAAATTGTCTGAACCGTGTAATGTATTTGCGCAACACATTTCGAACTATCTGATCACACACGTACTTGTCATAGGTATTTATATAAAAACTCATGAAGATAAGGGGTGAGAAAATAAAAAGGGGTCAGGTAGGAAGGCTGACTTAAAGGCCGAATAACAATGAAAATCAATAGAGCGAAAAAATAATAGTACATCGAACTTGGTTTTTCAATAGTTGAATTTACCAAGGAAGGTTTAATGTGACAACAAATTGTTTATGAATACATAAAGGTGGTTTCAACTTCCTAATAGCTAAGGCTTCAACAAATTTCAGGATCCCTCCCCAACATGTTTTGTAAATAGGTGTAAAGGAAGTAGCCACATCAATCTTGTGACCTGTCTCAACGATATGTTTAGCGATCGAAGAACTTGGACGTCTGCTACCAACATTTATAGGTTCAGGTGATTTAATTTGCTTCTGAAGCCACTTTGGAATATGTTCCGAGGCCCTTACTTGCATGGATCTATTAGTCCTCCCTATGTATGTGTCACCACACGTACATTTGAATTGGTAGATACAATGGGATGTGACATTATCGTTCACATGCTGTGGGGGTTTGGGGGAATATAAGGGCTTCGTGGTTTCGATTACTCGAACCCTGGCTGCATAGTAAGTCCTTCTAACAGCAGCGTTAAGTCTCTGCTTAAGGATTGCACTCTGAGAGTCACCTTTGTACGGAAGGCTGATGAAGACATCCTTCTTTGGGACTGACTGCAGTTCTAGTTTTGACGCTCTGCTGATTTTGTTCTGCCTGATAAATGTTGATGGATAGTTATTTTCCAACAAAATATCGGTCAGTGTTCCTCTTTCATCTTCTAAAGTATCCTCGGTGCATATTCGTTGAATTCTGCTGAATAAGCACCTTACTAACGTTCGCTTGTACTGAACTGGGCAAAAGCTATGGTAATTCAGATATTGCCCTGTCCATGTAGGTTTTCTGTAGATAGATCGTTTTATGGATCCATCCTGCCTTCGACTAATTAATATATCTAGGAACGGCAAGCAGTCATCTTCCTCTCTTACACATGTCAAAGATATGCTGTTCTGTACTTCGTTCAGTCGGTTTAGAATTGAAGTAGCCTGATTTGAGTTTTCACAAATAATCAGGATATCGTCAACATATCTTCGATACAGATGGGCTTGGTCTATTAAGTTCTCGGCTAAGTTCTCAACGTGTGACATAAATATGTCGGCTAGGAGGGGACCTAAAGGACTTCCCATAGCGACACCATCAACCTGGCGGAAATGTTCGCCCTCAAAGGTGAATTTAATATTGTTTGTACATAAAAGTAACAGCTGTTTTAGGTGATCCAAAGTAATGGGTATCGGAAACTTATGCACAGAAATATAACCACATAAAATGTCAATTGTCTTGACCAAAGGGACATTGGTAAATAATGAGTTAACATCAAATGAACACATAAATTTACTCTTTATGTTGACATGCTCAAGGCATTTGATTACTTCAAATGTATCTTTTAAGGAATACTTACAAAATTGCTTCTTAATGGGATCCAATAACTCCACTAGCCACTGGGCAAGCTTATGCGTTGGCGACTTACACATTGACATTATGGGACGTAAGGGGTTGTTGGGTTTATGTACTTTGGGCAAACCGTAAAGATGTGGGAATCGGGATTCAGTTGGTTTCAGTAGGGCGAATTTTTGACTGGTAATGACGTTCATTTCGAGCAGTTTCACTAGATTAGCGGTCACAGTTCCCTGTAACAATTGTACGTCTTCTGAAGAACAATCCTTAGTGAATTTATTTTCATCTTCAAGAATCGATGACATTTTACACTTATATTCGATTTTATCCATGATCACGACACCTGAGCCTTTGTCAGGTCTGAGGATAATAATATCAGGGTTCTCTCGTAGTTCCTTCATAGCTCTGAAATGTTCAGAAGTTAGAATGCTTTTCTGGTTCTGATGGCTATCACAAAACTGGTGGGCGATATCCACCATCTTGGCTTTCAGCCATCCCTGGTCCTCAATTGAAGTTGGGACGAGAGGTTTCAACTGGTTGTATAGGTTTTCAAACTGTGCATGGGTAGCCAAATCTGATGACTGCTTTCGAGGAACACAAAATTTAAGTCCAAGGGATAGGGCTTCCTTCTGATAGGTGGACAGTGTCACTGTAGAAAGGTTAGTAACGTACTTATCCGGGTTAACAGGGAAATGGTTAATATGATTTTTACTGTCAAGTGAACTGGTTAGCTTCTGATGCATATTGGCTTTCGTTTTGAGAATGACATTACTACAAAATTGTAGGAATTTCAAACGACATATTATTGACAAATCCGATAGAATATTTGATACATTGATGTGGAGTAAAAGCATATCATGCAGCTTATCTTGAAGATGAAAATAAATTCACGAAGGATTGTTCTTCAGAAGACGTACAATTGTTACAGGGAACTGTGACCGCTAATCTAGTGAAACTGCTCGAAATGAACATCATTACCAGTCAAAAATTCGCCCTACTGAAACCAACTGAATCCCGATTCCCACATCTTTACGGTTTGCCCAAAGTACATAAACCCAACAACCCCTTACGTCCCATAATGTCAATGTGTAAGTCGCCAACGCATAAGCTTGCCCAGTGGCTAGTGGAGTTATTGGATCCCATTAAGAAGCAATTTTGTAAGTATTCCTTAAAAGATACATTTGAAGTAATCAAATGCCTTGAGCATGTCAACATAAAGAGTAAATTTATGTGTTCATTTGATGTTAACTCATTATTTACCAATGTCCCTTTGGTCAAGACAATTGACATTTTATGTAATTATATTTCTGTGCATAAGTTTCCGATACCCATTACTTTGGATCACCTAAAACAGCTGTTACTTTTATGTACAAACAATATTAAATTCACCTTTGAGGGCGAACATTTCCGCCAGGTTGATGGTGTCGCTATGGGAAGTCCTTTAGGTCCCCTCCTAGCCGACATATTTATGTCACACACTGAGAACTTAGCCGAGAACTTAATAGACCAAGCCCATCTGTATCGAAGATATGTTGACGATATCCTGATTATTTGTGAAAACTCAAATCAGGCTACTTCAATTCTAAACCGACTGAACGAAGTACAGAACAGCATATCTTTGACATGTGTAAGAGAGGAAGATGACTGCTTGCCGTTCCTAGATATATTAATTAGTCGAAGGCAGGATGGATCCATAAAACGATCTATCTACAGAAAACCTACATGGACAGGGCAATATCTGAATTACCATAGCTTTTGCCCAGTTCAGTACAAGCGAACGTTAGTAAGGTGCTTATTCAGCAGAATTCAACGAATATGCACCGAGGATACTTTAGAAGATGAAAGAGGAACACTGACCGATATTTTGTTGGAAAATAACTATCCATCAACATTTATCAGGCAGAACAAAATCAGCAGAGCGTCAAAACTAGAACTGCAGTCAGTCCCAAAGAAGGATGTCTTCATCAGCCTTCCGTACAAAGGTGACTCTCAGAGTGCAATCCTTAAGCAGAGACTTAACGCTGCTGTTAGAAGGACTTACTATGCAGCCAGGGTTCGAGTAATCGAAACCACGAAGCCCTTATATTCCCCCAAACCCCCACAGCATGTGAACGATAATGTCACATCCCATTGTATCTACCAATTCAAATGTACGTGTGGTGACACATACATAGGGAGGACTAATAGATCCATGCAAGTAAGGGCCTCGGAACATATTCCAAAGTGGCTTCAGAAGCAAATTAAATCACCTGAACCTATAAATGTTGGTAGCAGACGTCCAAGTTCTTCGATCGCTAAACATATCGTTGAGACAGGTCACAAGATTGATGTGGCTACTTCCTTTACACCTATTTACAAAACATGTTGGGGAGGGATCCTGAAATTTGTTGAAGCCTTAGCTATTAGGAAGTTGAAACCACCTTTATGTATTCATAAACAATTTGTTGTCACATTAAACCTTCCTTGGTAAATTCAACTATTGAAAAACCAAGTTCGATGTACTATTATTTTTTCGCTCTATTGATTTTCATTGTTATTCGGCCTTTAAGTCAGCCTTCCTACCTGACCCCTTTTTATTTTCTCACCCCTTATCTTCATGAGTTTTTATATAAATACCTATGACAAGTACGTGTGTGATCAGATAGTTCGAAATGTGTTGCGCAAATACATTACACGGTTCAGACAATTTACGTCTTCTTATTGTTTTTTCGAAGCTACTTATTACTGGAATCAGTAGCACCTCTAGTTAATCTAAAAATGTAACGGATGGTAAATACTGAATCATGTGTGGACTATTCTGTCAAATCAATTTAAACTAACCTATCGTTAAATAATTTACTAGTTTCACTTCTGCAAGCAATCACTCATAGTTAGAATAGCTGGAAGTGGATTTTTCTGACTGTGAAGCTGGACGAGACAAGATAATATTTCTGAGGATAAGAGGGAGTCGGTTTCGCCTTGGTTTATGTCAACTGTTGCAGATGGAAGCAGGCTTGTTGTTCCTTGCTTTGAGTCGTTTTAGAACATGCAGAACTTTCCCCATTGAAAAACATATACTGAAATGAAAGCACTACATCTGAATTACTCAAATATGCATATGACTCTGAGTTTGTGAGGGTTTGAGTGGCAGGTATATAGTAACTGAAGCAAATCTCAGACATTGCCAGATTGGAAACATATACCTCCAAGCGTCTGACCTAATGTTGTATCATTTAAGCTGGCTTCTAGCTTCGTTTTATTTCTGTCACAGTTTGTATGTTTAGCATGAATAAAACAGTTTTGTGAATGAAAGTTGTACAAAGTTATATGGATGAATTTTCAGTGACTCACTTTTTTATCGGCAAAAAATTCATATCCATCTTCGACCACTTGATGCGCTCTTACAACCAAACTCACATTGCAATCTTTCATGAAACGATATACAGCATCTTCACCGAATGTGTATGAAACGCCTCGTTCATTTTCTTTCCATCCAGTATATGACTGCATAATTAATTGAGTAAATGTTTATTAATTTATTAAAAAGGAGTCCTGGAATGTAGTATTTTTAAGGAAGTCAAAATATTATATTATCATTTACAACTTAGAGTTTTTTACTTGTTTACTGTTACCACCTTTTTAAGTTTTCCAGTTTTAATTATCGTTCAATATTCAACTAAAATAGTTAAGATAAACATATACATTTGTGAAAAAATAAACACATATTGTAGCTAATCTATTTAGCCAACATGATTTAAAACCAAGAGTATGATGGGAGTACGTTGATGACACCTTTCGTCATAACCAAAAGACAACGTCTAGATAGTCTTTTTGAATATCTCAACAACTGTTTCAACTTTATAAACCTCAATTATGAACTAGAAACAGAATTCAGATCACTAGCAATCCTAGATTGCACGGTCATATGAAACAACGACTGGACACTTGAAATTGATATCTACCAAAGAGATAAACATTCTAACAAGTACGTTGACTTTGATTCAGCCCGCCCATCGGAAACTAAGTTAAATGTTGCCAAAATCTGTTTGACGATATCACAAAGAATACCAAATAAACTGGAGTCTCAGTAAACAGAAAGGCAACTTGTTAGGGAAGTCTTAAGACAAACAACTACCGGGAAAAACTGTTAAAAAGAATGAAAAAATCAAGCCATAAATATTGGATAAGCACATTAGTACTTCCTTATCGAAAAACCACATCAGAGGAAATAAGACGTATTCTTATAGTTACAACATCAGAGTACTCTTTAAGGTGACGAACACATTACACTCACACCTGTGTAAATTAAAACACCCTATTCCTCATTTTGAACAACAGAACAGTGTTTATAAGGTAGACTGTAGTCAGTGAGATGCCACATAGACTGGAGAGATACCACATCAAGTACTAATACGTATAACCGAACACTGTCGAAGTTACAAGAAACCACCAAAAAATTCCTATGATCCTGAAAAAGTTAAAGAAAGCTGTTCCATCACAGCTCATGTCCTATATTCAAGTTGTAGAATATCACTCGAAAAGGCAAACATCTTGCAAAAGGGTTTTCTTTCTCACAAAAAAGTGGGCCATTTCATAAGCTTTGGACATCTGTTTATACCGTTCTTCGATCAACAGAAAAGATGGATTAGACATCCCACAAATATGCCAAACATTAGTGACTGCCATAGACACCTGCAAAGAATATACAAAGAGAAGGTAGAATACAACTACATTTCACTGTTTCACTGGATTTATTCCGGTGTTAATTCGCTAAATCGTCTTACTCACAAGTAAATATTGGTTGTATTTTACCAACTTGTCGAATTCCATTACATGATACTTTATTGATCTACTATTTTCATCAATTTTAAGCTCCTTTCTCAGTCATATACTTTCTATGAACCGTTCTCTGCATTACATAATCCATTTTGTTATCACTGATACTTCAACTTATCTAAAGTACCTTTATCGTTATCACTATTATTCATGATATATTGCTTGATGTTCAAATAGTCATCTTTCCAAAATAGTAGACTATTCTTTCTCACCCCTGATGACTCATAACCCCATTGTATTTTTTGTAGTCGAACTAAATTTCTCCGCCCCGTTTTCGTTCCACCTCACGCAACTGGAGAAAGCTTCTCTGAGCCATTTGCTGATTTACTAAGCTACATTATATTATCCTTTGTTCCTTATCACGATGTAATTGGTCGATAATTAAGGTCACCTCCTATACCAAAACTTGAATATTAACCTCAAAAATCGGGTAACTTTGACGGACATCCTAGCAACTGTTACAGCAGCCAATCAGGTTTCGGTATTCCGACAGGGAGGTTAGTTCTTCATAAAATACAGAATCATAATTGATTATCTTAACAGTTGCTGGGGTGGCCTTTAAAGTCACCCGTTTTCGGGTGACAATTAAAATAGCCAATCACACTGTAGTATTTTACGAATACCTGCCCTTCCAACCGAAATTGAGAAACCTAATTGGTTGTTTAGATTGTTGCTACGGTGGCCTTTAATGGCGCCCAAACTTAATGTCAGATTCATACTCTTGAAAAGGATCATCCTAGCAAAAGATTGAAATATTGAGGAATAATACAAGATATTTGTTAGTTTTGTCGTTTGTTCTAATATACTACTACACGGGGATTATACAAGTAAAATTACACCTTATGCAATGAAAATAATATTTGTTTGATAAAATGGTTTGTTGAGAATTAATTAATTCCAAATTAGTTTACAACGTGAAATTTCATGAGTTAAAGAATTGTTGGAGTCAGTTAATAGTTTACGTTTGTTCCATCTTCAATGAAGAATCATCAAACTTTTGGGTCAAAGATGAATCCCTACTAATAACATTTAGTGATAGAAGCGTCGTATGAACAGTTGGAATTCGAGGTTAAATTTATTTTGCTGGCTTTGTAATCCATGAAGATTTTACTTTGCTTTATGCACATAACAGAGAAAGCGCATTATCTGGAAGTCACAAACGGGAAAAACTTTTATAAACTAATCACCTGCATCACAAACCAAATTACTGAATAAGATTAGATTTATATTTCGCATAAGTGTTTTAAAAACCTCAGCTAGAAAGTAACAAAGCAATTCCATGGATGTTTGAAATGGTGAATTGCTTTGTTATCTCAAGTCTTGTGTAAATATATTAGCCAAAAATTAATTGAATTCCACTTAAGAGCAATGAGGGAAACGTATTTCTTTATTATATCAAAACTGACATCTTCTTGTGCTATATCAAAAGATTCCATGTGAGAAGTAAAGCATGCACCAGTGATCCAGGGGATAACGCCCTGACATTTGAAGCGATGAGTGCTGAGCTCGAGTCTCAGAGGGAAAAACATCACTTAGTGATGTGTAAGTACATCCAACTAGCAAGTTCCAAATAGGACGAAGCGTGAATTACGGATTCCACTGGTACGCGTCATGAAGTCAATTGTAACAATAATTTATCCAACGAGTACCGGGACGTCCACATAGGAGCCCATCTAAAAACTCAGGTCGAACAATTTAACTCATTATAGCAGAAGGAAATCATGACTGTGAATAAACAAAGCGTTAAAATATTCGATGAGTATGTCTGTTTGCTAACATACTGAAATTGAGAAGGCAAAGTTTCGGTACTTGTCATAAATTTAGTAACCAGTGGAAATGGAATCAACACACCAAGAAGACGACTTGGTGCTGCGCGTTTATGTGAGAGCTTGGAACAGTTATCTGTTATACTGACAGTTCCAGTTCTTAGGTTATATAGTATTTACCAGCTGTTTCGATGACAGCAAACCAGACAAAGGATTGATATCACTGAAACTGAACCTATCTGTATTCAACAATTGCACTCAGATCAGTACAGATTGGCTAATTAGGTCAGCTAGAAGTTTGCGCACACACGATTTATTTCGTCATGTTTGCCTGATTTTACTCTCTCTTTTTTTCTGCTCAGCAGTGCGGTGAGTTTTTGTTTGTTCTGCCTGCATGTTCCTTTTGAAACACATTCACCAAACGGATTTTTGAATGTAGTCTGGTTAAGAGTTCAAGGTGTCCTGAAAGTCTCCTTAGAGTAAACAGAATTGGACCAGTACTCATTAAGTAATTGGTTAGTACCACTTCTTCAATCAGTATTGCACTAACACTCTTGGCATTTGTAACTTGTGATTACTACCGCAGACATGAGTTGATCGATCATGTTTATAAGTGAAATTTCAAATCAGAAACACAGATATACATGAAATTGCTGTGTTATGATTCATTCAAAGGGAAACAACGAGTTGAGCGCTCAGGGGAGACATGGAGGAGATCATGTGAGGAAGAAATGAAAGTTTGTGGGCAATAATGAAGCCAGGTTCAAAAGACTTCAGAGAAGAGAGTGGAATGGAGACGTGCTACTGAAGCCCTAAGTTCCCCTAGGAACCTAAGAGAAAAATTAATAATAATAATAAGTCATTCAATCTTATAGATGGTTTTTGAGCAAGTGATAGTGATTAACTTTGCTCCTTTATGAATAGTTTTCTATGCGTCAAGACTGACTTCAAATGCTACCCGAAGAACCATTGAGATAACCAGTTGGGTTTGTTTGTCTCAGGTGGAAAAGTGGATTTTAATAAAATATTGAACTCTAATTAGTTATCTAATTAGTTTTGTGGGTGGCCCTTAGCGTCACTTAAGTAACTCATACATCAAATATTGAATTGCCTGAATTTCTGGGCACCATGTGGTTAATAAGAAATGACTATAAATCACACACTGGTAACTGCTGGAATGATTAAGTACTAGAAAAGCACTTTCTTTTCCATGAAATATATCGAAACTTAATTTAACCATTTCATTGGTTGTTAGGGCGACCTTTAGGGAGTGACCTAAAGGTCACCTTAGCAATAGCCGAGAAAATTAACCAATTAGGAGTGACCTTCAACGACACGTCAATAAATTCTGAGATGACCAATAACATTTCTTTATTATATGAATAACTACCTTTCCAGCCTAAATACCGAATGGTGATTGATTATTTTATCAGTTGCTAGCTTGGTCTTTAAGTCAGTTGACTTTATGACTATCTGAGGCTTGATCATGGCGATTGTACAAAATTACAAGTTTTTCATGTCTTCATTACACTGGTTTATAAGTTTTAGTCAGTAGTAAGTGCAGAAATTAGTTCATTAGTTCATTTCAAAACAGTGCAGTGATGGATGTCTGAAGGTGGATTGTAGTAGCCCATGTGTGATTTTGATTTGTACTCTTCAGAAGACATAAGAATGGCATCTGTACAACGGCAGTTAGACTAGTACTCTATTCCTACACCCAAGTTAGTATGGTTCAAAGCAGCAGATAACAACACTTTCCATCATTTATTTAAACTCTTCTTAAGATTCCGTCACTTACGCTTATAATAAATAACTCTAAATACCATGCTTATAAAATTACATAAAGAAATTTAAAACAGTCCATTTTAATACATTCATACTCACTCCGTCAGGATCTGACCACAATAAATCACAGATAATACCCATGTCTGGAACTTCGGTTGGACGTCGTATTTCATTCAACTTGACGAAATAAAAGGACAGTAAGAAAGTAGAGTGAAGAAAGAGATTGAATAAATGGAGTGTGGATTTTTATGCTTCGAAGAAGTAAAAAAAAAGATAAAATGAATGTAGTTTCAAACTAAACTTGCCTGTTCTAACTTCTTCAAATCTGGTGATAAACCACCGTGTGCACAGAACATTCTAGAATCAACTAGTGCAGCTGTAATAGGAAAATAAAATGGTGAGAAAGAAAGAGCGACGTAGAGAGAGAAGGAGTTAATAGGAAGAAAACTACAGAATACTTTTACCATTTACATTGAAATTTGTAACCTACCTAAAGGGAGGCAATTAAAGCAGTCTGTGAATACTTTCCATAGTTTTGTTGAATAACGGCGTTTACATTCGTCGTAGAAACCGTATATCCTGTTGTTCATAGGTAATGAGAAAGCAACAAAGACATCAACAATAATAGTACAAAAGTGATAAAGTTGGGAAATATTTTAATCATTGCAAAAACACCTAATGTAAGACTACAACTGAGGTACTGTGGCAGTGTAAAATTCCACATTAGATTGTTTACTTCATATAATACACAATGAAACATTTTTATTATTATTCACTGTATGGTGTTCCTAACACAACTTATCATTCATATTTACATCACACCTTTCCAATCTCGTCTTTATAGAGGTATTTCCTCTCCTTCTTAACTTATCCTATGGGTAGTAGAATTTTCGGGTTATCTGGGAAAGTTGTTGATTTGTTCCTATTGCGTGCCTTTATTGTTGATTCCATAAACCAGAATTTAGTTTTCAGTCCCACCCTCAACCCCTCCCCGCACCTAATTAATTAGCCTTGACGACTGTCACTGCAGGTTGACTAACACGACCCAGTATAGCAACAGGAAATTACTACCATCAATGAGGAACAACTGATGCCCGTTGCACCAGAGATAGCTGTCGTGGCTAACTGGCATGGTGAATGATGCTTTGACGTTTGGAGCTAGGGATACAGAAGTTCGAATATCAGTGGGAACGCCAACACTCATTGGGGTTAAGGTACATCCGGCTGACAAGTCCCAAACTGGACGAAACGGGTGTTATGAATTCAAGTGTTAGGCATTGAGTAAACTAGAACTCCCACTCTAGTCCTATCCATTGTATTGCAGTAGCGAAGCTTTCCTCTAGATTTATTACCTTACTAGGGTCTATGATTCTTGGTTCGTTTAGGTTTTTATGTTCTGTTGTTCTAATTGACCTCATCCGACTAGTTTGACCTCAGCAACTGACCTCAAATTCGTCTCATGGAACTTGATAGAAAAAATCTATGTTGTCTCATATGCTTGATAGTGAGTATATGGGTTTGAGTATCACCTTAATTTCATCTTTGTTCAGGACCTTGAATAAACTTTCTGAGGTACTTTCCTTAGAGGATAACACTGTGGAGGTTTTGAATTCTCGTTTCTTGGTGTTGCCGTCGTTAGCATCTATAATATCTGTGTTCGCATTCCTCATTTTCTCCTTACAATTTCCTCAAAAAATAATACGGAAATAAAATTCATGAAAGACGATCCAGCTAAGAAAATTTTGTTTTCAATCTATCATTTCCAAAAGCTGTACATCGTAATCATAGTTACAACAAAATATATATATATACATCCATCAGTGGCAAACTGGTGAGTTCAGGGTCATCAAAAACAGTGAACAGGACCACAAGGTGATTAAGACTGAAAGGTTAAATCAAGGTCATCAAAATCTGCTTAAAGGGTTATAGTAAACAGACAAAGAAATGAATAAACTATCTTGATGTATTTACAATGCACCAATAAGCAGTTTTTGATGACTTTCTATTGACCAATTCATTATTGAGGGAGATATATATTTTGTTGTAGCTGTGATTAGGACGTACAGCTTTTTGAAATGATTGGTAGAAAAGAAAATTTTCCTTGCTGAATAGTCTTTTATCAATACAGAAATGCTCAGAGCTTCCTAATCCCCAAAAGGCTTTCAGTCGATGTTAGCCAGTAAAGTGACTGACTGATACTTTGTTCCTATGAAATACAAAAATGAGGCGTTCAGTTACAAGTCAACACCAATGCACCTCCAAATTCAAACAATAAGCATCAAAGCGCTATGTTTGAGTACGCTATGGTTTTGGGGTGGTGGTAAATGCCCCAAAAATGTTGGCAGTGTTCTTGTAGTTGTATTCCCCTTTGTGTTCGACTTTCACCAGACCTAGATTTTAACGCCAGCCTTCAAGGCAGCCACAAATACCCATCATAAAGAAATCAAACTGGCATTTATTGATTCTATCGGAGAGGATAGCAGAATGGAAGCTAATTCATCCCCTTTCACGTGCGTCGTTGTTTTTATCGCCACTGACACCTTTTTCTCACTCCGTGTCACTGAAATATATCCTATAAGTTTGAATACTCTTTTCGATGATGAAAAAGATGCTTTCAGAATAGGCGAATTCGCCTCCTTCAATCTATTTGGTACATTAAAAGGCAAAACATTGAGTGTGTTGTTCATGGTATGACTAAAATAAACTATGTAAGACAAAGAAACAATCTTGTAGGAAACTTACCGATTTATCCGACTACATTCATGATTTCCTCGCAAAACAGCCACTTTATCAGGATATTTTAGTTTGTATGCCAATATGAGTGAGATAGTTTCAATTGATCGTTTACCACTGAATAAATTGTGTAAAAGACACAGTTAAATTTAAATACAATATCAATCTCTTCGGTGAATCTGAGAAAGGCTTTGCTTTTATCAACAATAAACATATAGAGGAGTTTAAGAAATATGCTTAACTACAGGGATTCACTTAATTCTGTGTTAGGCTTTTTTTCAACTCCCCTCCCTTTCGTCCTCGTCTCTCTGGCACTCAACATTGTACTATCTAGTTGAAAGACTTGGGCACTGTGGTAGAATGTAACTTCATATTAGATTTGTTGATTTGATATAGCCAGCATACAGTGATACACTATTTACTGGATGGCGTTTCGAGTATAGATTGTTACTCATAATTTTATCGACGTAACCACGCAGCTTTGGATGTCATTCTAATAGTCTTATCCCCTCATATTCTTTGTTTTTATTAGTATTATAATTCTGCCCATCTCTGGTATGGGTATTGCGCCATTCCTATTACATGTGTTGAGAGTCGATTCAGTGAATAACTCTAAGCATCGCCTCAGCAACAACTGAGATAACCAATCAGATTTCGCTATTTTACAAAAATCACTCCAACAGCAATAAAGAAACGTGACTAGTTATTTCAATCGTTGCTACGCTGGCCTTCAGAGTCTCTTAGATTCAGTAATCAATCTCGCTCTCTCTCTAACTATATTAGACTTAATAACAGTGACTTTTCCCCGTCCTACTGCGTGGATGTGTTAATCCGTGCACTGAAATGGGTAAGATTTTGTTTAAGTTTACTCCACCTATTACTGTCTATCATTCTACATTTGACTAGATTCTTGTGTTCCGATAATCTAACTGACTTTGACCTATCTACTTAACCTCACAGTCATTACATGGAATTCAGTAGAGCAAATTATTTTATCTCGGAGTAGGTTTGTATGTTCGGATGCTACACTATTTCCGGCTTTGTTGGGAATTCTAAGCAAAGTTTCTGGTTTTCCTTCCTTGCGTGTTAACACAATAGAGGCCTGAACTCCTTTCTACTTGTGTCTTCTTTATTATTCACATTCATATTACTGTTATAACATAAATTCTTGTGTCCTTACGAATTTATTAATAAATTCTCGGGGGTAATTATTAATTACTGGTGTTCGCTTTTAGTGTTTCAGCTTCTTATTCAAGTCCCTAAATTGACTAGTGAGCTTTCTTGCCCTGCTATTCAAACATTTGACTAAAAATGCCCTAGATGATATTGGATAAGATGACCTGAAGTCTAGATATCGGTTGGAATGTATCGATTTCCTGTAGATTTAGTAGTGTATTAACCACCGTCTGTACTCCCTTTTACTTTGGAATCCAACTTAGCTAATTCATCTTATCATTTTTTTGCCTCGTAAGTGAATTGGATTGCACCTACTGCTGAGTTTATACGTGTAAGCAAATTGTCGATATGTTGCCATTTCAACACAGTAAATGGGTCATCCATATATCACCACCATAACTTAGATGTATGACCATACGTTCCTGAAATCACACCTTCCCAACTATCCATAAATATTGGAGATCCCATTGCTACTCTTTCTGTCTGTCTGTATATTTGTACTGAAACATGAGGAATGTGGAGGTCAGACATAAATAACTGTAAGGGAAAAGCTTGGGCACTGTGGTAGAGTATAACTCCACATTAGGCTGTTTATTTGATATAATGCACAGTGACAGTATACTGTGTTATATCAAATAAGCGATCTAATATGGAATTATAAATAACTGTACATCTAACATGATACTGTCAAGCAATACTTTAGTTCTGTAAGTTCTGAGTTTATATTTTGTTGGTTTCTTACTGCCCCCAGTGTCATATTGATTGGTATTTTAGTTTAAAGGCGTGTTATTTCGAAAAAAGATAATTTTTTTCATCCACTTATATTTAGAGGTCTTAGTTTCAACTTGCAAGATTTGACTTGTTAAGCATTTGAACAGTTCGTAGTAGAACAAGACAAAGCGCGAAGAATACATATGATCTGGTGCAGAAGGAGTCAGATTGTATCCGTAATTCATTGGTTGAGATGGGCTACCCTTACAGTTTCATAAAATGACACACGGACAAAGTTAGGGGGAACAAACCTGGTATTATTACCATGCAAATGAAACTTTTATTTATGAAACTGCAATTTAATGGGGATGTAGCCGGAGAAACTTTATATCAGAGACTCTCTAGAGCTATTAAGAGGACCTTCTACGCCGCACAACTTTCTCTATCACTTTCCAGTGGACTAATTGTTGCTGCTGAAACAAAAGATAAGTTATCTAGTTTCGCCATTTCTATGTGTATTTACAAGTTCAGCTGCTTCTGTGAAGAAAGCTATATAGGGCTTACTACTAGACAACTTAACAAACGTGTTGCTGAGCCTCTACCTTCATGGTTGGGAAAGGGACAGATAAAATCCATCAGAAGCTCAGTTTTATCTCACCTCGCTGATAGTGGTCACTAGGTGGATAAGAACATTGCTTTCATGATTATACACCGCACTCCATCTCGTATTTCGAAATGTATTCAAACTCGTCTTTTGCACAAAGCAGAAGCTGTGAGAATCCGAGCTAATAATCCTAACCTTTGTATCTGGAAGAAATTTGTACATCCCTTATCCCTCCCTTGGTCAGGGTAGACTTAGTTAATAACTTTATTACTCAGTTTTTCCCCCTACGCCTTTTCTTATTCTCCACCCCTTTCATATATACTGTATTTGTGTAGGCTTTGTTTATCCACTTACCTAGCTAGCCCTTCACTATTACCTATCTTTAATTTTCACAAGCTTTTGACCCACTTTGATTATCGGAGTTTCTATATTTTCGAGCTACTTTCTTGGTTCTTATCATCATTATCATCCATATTTCATGTGTTTTAGTCAACGTTATCACTTCATCACTATCGTTATTATTATCTCCATCGTTATTTAAAACATTTATCACATCAACCGGCAAATCTACATGATGGGTTTAATTTTATACATATATATTAAGATATTTGTATTGAAGTAAAGCCTGAAGAGGATCTAATTGAAAACAATATTGTTCGCTTATATGTCATGTTCTTATTTACATGATGGGAATTTTAACTCTTAAATCTCAAGTTCCTAATAGGACATAAAATCGATGCTGAGTACTTTGATGGTTCAGATGTTAGAATATTCTTCAAAGTCAACTGTGGGTCTAATGGGATAACCCTGTTTATGAACCTTAAGAGCACGGTAAGTTCTGTTAGGACTGTTCGCATTGTCAGCATCACTAGGCATCAAATTAAACCATTTTACTCTTTTATGACCTTAGTTTTACACTACTTTTTACAAGCAAGTAGTATTATAACATTTTCATTGTTTTGCTACTATTTTCGTTTAGGAATAAAGAAGTTTATCGAACAGTCACTCTTTTCAGCGATATCACTCTCACATATAAATATTCTATTCACACAGTTACAGAAAAGGGATGTCTCATGAAATATTTTGAACGAAGTTCAGATTTGATTATAAATCAAGAAATTGGGAAAAGAGAATTACTTGGTGTTTGAGATAGTAATGAGAAGAAGACTTATCAAGACGGAACTAATATTTAGTCACTAAGTTAAATGATGTGATATAATGAATAAAAAGAGAAACCAGGATTATAAGAATAGAGGGATGTAATATGTGAGAAGATGTGAATTAAAAGGTTTTTCGAGATAATAACGGCCATTGCAACTCTAGTGACTATCCAACGCTGAAATATATCACCAATTACTTCGTGGTATGCGTATGATTTCATGTTTTCGTGAATAGTATAACGTAACCTTGGGAAATCTTATAGTAGCACACCTTGCCAGGTTATGTACTACTTCCCTTCTGCACTGTAACACATTCTTTTCAGAAACTAAACGAAGACAGTCAATAACAGACTGCAGCACACTGACTGATGATACATTACACAACGACCTGAAGCTCCATCGTTAATACCGGTGTGTTGTCTACTTAGTGACAGTGTCATGATGTCAGTCGCTTATAGATTCTAGTTTTCCGTACTAAGTGATGGAAACTGAATTCCAGTTTCAGTGGAGATAGAATTGCTCACTGAGATTCAGGAATATCAAGCCGACAAGTATCAGGTGGGGCAGTTATAAATGATGATTGAAGTTGAGAGAAAATCTTAGTCTGTACAAGCCTCAGTCGAGTTAGTAGAAAACCATGTTCGTAAATCGGAAAGGTTACTGCTTCAATTCTCATCGTGATTCAGACTGTCAGTAATCATTCAGTTAGGGAGGTTGGACACGATTATCAATCAATTAAGTAGGGGAGAAATACTGCGAAAACTCATAGAGATTTTTATGAATAATCATCATTTACTCACCGGTCAACATAATCACCAAGAAATACATACTTCTGTTCAGGTGGCTTGCCACAACGATTGAAGTACTGTAACAAATCTTCGTGTTGTCCATGTATATCTCCAACAATTATAACTGGGGAAGATATTGTCACGAGAACTGGTTCACTAATGAATAATGATCGTGCCGCGTGAGCAAGATCTAATAATTGTTGTTCGGTAACTCCACGCTACCTCATCGAAACGTACATGTTGACAAACACACATGCATATATTCATAGAAAAGAAGGAATTGGAAGAAAATTATGTTGACTAGTTGATATTGATCTACAAGGTGTCCTTGATATTATAAATCCTGTTTTGTGGCAGCTATACACCTGTTCATGAAACTTCAAAGGAACCCTAACCCTAGAGATTGGAGCCAGCGTCGCCCTGTCATACATTCAGAGGTCTTCCCACCTAACCATTCAGATGATCTCAAACATGAAAAAGTCAACTAAATTGGTCAGTTACAAACCAGTAATTAATATCAGACAATCTCTTTTCTGCTGTAGACAACTGCATCGGAAAAACTAAATGCAGCAAAATGTCAGGTAACTGAAGGCAATCGGTAAAAAACTTCAGACATAGGCATTTCACTTTTTACCTTTCATCAGTAAGGTATATCAATAACATCAAACAATCTTATTCTATTTCAGACATTAAAAAGCCCTTGTCAACAGGCACCCTAATGATAGAGATCATCACTGAACTATTGCAGTAATTCAGATCGACAGCTTAGGTTTATTGATAAAGTTCAACTCACAATTGTAATGGGGCTTTATGATGCTGATTATTGTAGATATCAGATTACTGTGTACACCTGTGACTTAATGATTCAAGTATTCACTTTTCAAATATTCTGTCATTAAAACAAAGACATAATAGCGAATACAATTTTCTTTTTATTAATTCCATTTATTAAAACTGTACAATCGTATTTACTAGTATTGAAGACAAATAACTGTCTCTTGCTAATCAGCAGAATTAACTGATTAATAAGATGTTTCGAGAGGAGCTTAAAAGCTTGTTTCTCAGAGCAGAAGGGAATTGTAATGCTGGTCATACATAGTAAGGCTAATAAGGGCACTTAATGTTTTTGAACAAAAACGTTGGGTTCAAGATTATAAATACCGAATGATTTGGTTGTGTATAGGTGACTTGGTGAAAGTCTTTTAGAATAAATAGTAAAGAGGAAGTCTGTAGATTACTTTTAGAGAAATATCGGGAGGAGTCAGGTTTCTAGAGATGATGAGATGTTCAAAAGTAGAATGGTTGGTATTTTTTTCTGTCTTTTGAATAACACACTTGACGTCGTGTATGGCCAATGTACGTAGCTCCACAGGAAGAAGTAAACTCATAAAAGTAAACTGGGTTGGCCAAAAAAGATATTTTGTCCTTAAAGCAATGATGGGTTAATTGTCTGCTGGAGAATATGATTCTAAGTCTAGTCGCATGAAATATCTTAAGAAGAAGTTTTTGCAGATTTCAACTGCACTGTCATGTTTGAATTCCAAGTACTTTTAAAAAGTTTCCGTTGAGACTGTCAACAACTGTTGTATTTGTGCGTTTGCTTTCATGTCAGGATCAAGCAATGAGTCTGAGTGGATAACCGTTTTCTGGTAGGATGTTACTGAGAAATCTTAGCTCACCATCCAGTTTATTTTCAAAGCAGATCGTCTTGTTCCCTGAATCTAACGAATGCACAAGTCTCTGTTTGCTAACCAGAAGGACACAGCTCTGGAAGTTGATCAACTGTTCAGTCGACGTTGGATTTCCGTACATTCATCTCTGGATAAAATTATCCAGTCTTCGTATTAGTAGCACATCCAAGGGCGGTAACATTGAATTCATTTCACACTCTTGAACGAGCAGCATTAAAAGTGTTGAGGAGGTAGTTCAAATCAAATTCTTCATCGCATATGATCAAAATGTCATAGACATACCTTTTCTCTATACGAAGGCCGTGAAGCCATCAGGTGGAAGTAGATCAACGGGAGACCCTTTTTTCTCATCATCTTCCTGAATACAGAACTTTTCATTGACTTTGAGTTGAAGATGCATCTAAAAAGCTTTTTTTCAGGTTGCAATTCAGGTATGTCAACGTTCCAGTCGTTGAACTTTATGAAATCACTACCTTCTGTTTCGTATCATTAATGAATTTTCGTGCAGTAAGTAATTCATTAGTCCGCATACAGTAGGTGAATTCCGCAGTTGATTGTATGAACCAATATGATAATAATATTTATAATAGTAATCTCTTTATTACAAACAATATGTATGATACCGTTAGAATTTTTAGTATGTGATTTTTTTAAAAATCACTCCCAGATTAATATTTTCCGACGAAATGGTTATTGCATCTGAGTGACATGAATAATAACAGTATTCAAAGCAATATTGTGAAACACCCAGCTGGTTACGAAGAAGCACAGGGAACGCGAAGGTAAGTTTGGTTGTGGTGGCTTATTCATCCAATACAATAATATGCAACTCAAGCTTAATATCCGAGAGATAGGTTCAGTCCCATATAACGTGACATAATTTTCTCTGTTTTGTTATGAACTCGAGAAATTGTGAGTTGAAAACATTTTAACAATGTACACGAGAAAGTGGTACGTTCAAAGGACATAGTAAGACATTTTGATATGTATATCCGGTGGGTAATTTTGGTAGCCTAAAGTCCAAGTTGGACGCCGTGTTTCTATTAAGTGTAATATAGTCTGGTTGAAGTATTTTGCTCAAAAAACATTTTATCATAGTGATCATCTCTTTGAGTTAATGGTTTCTCAGTTGTTTCTAGCGAAACTTCCCAATCTTCAACTCATTCTCCGGCTATCTGGTAGCTTTCTAATGAGTGATAAAAGGAACCTACTAACATAGGTAGCAATAGCAAACACAAGTGGTTCCTTTTTAAAAATCCCCGTAGTGACTCTGTTTGTCTTTGGCTAACCCAACAGACTCTGGCTGTCTTGGTGGTAAAGGTTACAAAAGTTGGATAGTGGTGTTATCGCATATATTAGACATACTTGAAGTAGATTATGTGGATACTTCAGCATACATATAGATGTTGAACTTCACATCCCATACCATATCCCGATTGAAGTGATACGGTGGTGAACAAGTATTCCGATTGTATTCTGTGACTAGGAGGCCTGTTGTTATGTAACTAGACACTAAACAGATGATGCAACCGACTTTGGTTAATGCCAACGCCAATCAAACACAGAGGAAGGATCTTTAAATTCAATGGAGCTGTTTATCATGAATTTATCAGTGGAATCAACTGTCGAACTAATAGAAGTCAAAATGCTATGGACTAATGTTTCTTTCTAACGTTGGATTATTCTGAAGTTGGAATAACATATTGAAACTCATCAGATCTGCTAACTATCGTGTTCCATTTTACTCCGTATGAGCTTACTACCAACTTAAATCTATCTATAAATGAAGCAAGGTTTTTGGAGAAAAGAACTTCCAAAGTTAATTCCGACATTTAGTTTTATGGAATAATCGATCAGTTCTAGCACTAGCTTAGCTAAAATGTAAATCTTAGTTACTTCTGAAGTTCAGCTGGTAATCTTAGGATAGTTGGTGTATTGTTTTGTTGGTTGGTTTAAAGGTCCAAGTTGTAATTGACTCACTCAAATTCATGGACTCTCAGATTGATAATTATTGTTTGAGACACCTTTTAGAAGTTATACAGGTGGATCTTGACATTAGTGCTGTGTCACCAAATACCATTCTGTAGCGACTAACTGAAGCGTTTCTGATCAATAGACTTATCTAATGAATACACACCATCACTTCATCTTTGACCTTATTAGTCCACGTATTTCAGCCGGTATAGCTATCTTTCTGTGGAAAATACGAATATTCCCTTTAACTGTCACTTGCTGCTTTTCATTTTTATCGAGTTCAGCTGCAACTAGTAGAACGGCGTTTCTTCGAACACAATAACTGACTAAGAAAATACACTTTCATAAATGTTGTGACGACCGAGTGTGTTTATGTATGATTCATTAGGATGATTTCTATCGTGTTACGTCTTCTTAAGTAGAGTGATACTTATGTCGCATTATTTCTCGAGTTCGCATGCGCTATGTTGTCTGGTCTAATAATGAAACTGTCTCCACTAGACAATTCTACCCCCAAGAACATGGCATGACTCGAACAAGCAACTCAGAAGGTGACAAAACTGTCAAAATGAAACATCAGAGCATGACTTGGCGTCACATTTATCTACAATCAAATATGTTCTTAGTATTTTTCAATTAGAATTTGTTATCCAGTCACCAACAAACAAAAGTGTATCCACGTTTACCTGTTGGTGCTGTACAATGAGCGCACTAACTCACTCATGCTTAACCTATGAGTGATCAGGGACTGAACGGTAGCAAAACGCTTCTGTTGTTAGAACATTTTGCAGGTTGGCAGGATTTGCTTGGCACCTTTAGAGTGGATTCAGGATTTTTTGACATAAATCCAATTAGTCTCTTGAGGCTTATCTTTCACATAATCCTAAAATGGATATGAAAGGGATCTTTAATACTTACTAGAAGACACTACCTGCAGATTCAGATAGGATACCTAACTGTCAATAGAAAGATAATTCTATTGAATGACAGTTGGATGTTTTCGACCTTATGATCCTGAAACGTGGTCGCTGAAGTTATACTTAGGCTTAAAGTAGTCAGTTAATGGGGTCTTCGAAGAAGTGATCGAGATTGATGGAAGCATATGATGGACGTTTTTGAGCTTGACAGATGACCGTTACCTTTTAACATACGATTTATTCTTACCAATGATTATGTGTCATCTGTTAACAAATCCTAATAAACTATTTGATAATATTACTATTTAATGATGCGCTCGTTCTCATTCCTCTGCTGGCTGCAACCAAGCAAACAATGTAACATTAGTTAGCACTGGAATGCAGAATACAAATATCGTCATAACCAACAGTTATCAGTATGATGTGTTGGCATTCCAGTGATGGATGTTGCTTTTGTTGAAACTCGACATCACAGTTTCAAAATATAGCGAGAAGTGGTGAAGTGGATTCAAATACTAGCCACTGTTATCAAGACGGATTCTGGCGTCCATTATAAAATCTTTTCAGGTCGGTAGAATATCTAACGGATCCATTATTGGTAAAACATGTTCCAGGTTTATGAATTTGAAACTACTGTCTTCAATAAAGAAAACTACACTGCTGTTACGACATTCAGTATTACCAACGCCAAACTCAACCTTTTCTCACTAAGCGATTCACAATTTTTGTATTTGAGGTCATTTAATGTCATTTACATGAGATACCAGAGGAGTCAGTCACATGAGACACACTTTATTAAGATTCCTCAGACCATGGGTACGCGAGCATTATTAAGTCGTTCTTAAAGTGTAGTACTATGAACGGTTGATGTGTGAATAAAGCTAGCAACTGTGTTACTAATTTAATGCTAACGTTCAGTTATTCCTGCTGTTCTGCACGAAGTATACATTTAAAACAGGTGGGAAACTACAGGAGTTTGATAAATGATGCATATTGATAGTTGGAAACCACTCGTACCGAAAATTGGTACTCTGTGGTGGTATTTAGCTTATCTAAACACCATAAAGTTATCTCATTTGTTTATGGATGAACGCATAAGACGTTTACCCATACTGATTTGCATCAAACATTAGATGATTCTTCAACTAACTTGATAGAACATTTTTAAAGTGGTGTTTGCATAGTTGTTCTGCTGTCCTTCCACGTGTCACTCACGGCGTCGGGCCGGTCACTATTGATGGTCTGAGTATTCTGGTATTTAAGATAGTAGAGAAAATATGTAGCTCGGGATAGGGATGATAACTGTTCGGTGTCCTCTGACACTTGTGGTTTGTCATTGAACTTTTCATCCCTAGGCTAGATGGCTTCATCAGTATTTACTTAGCATAGAAGCTATAGGTTTCCACTCTTTGTATTATTAGCATTATAGTCTGAAAGTTTTAAAAATAATTGCTTTGATTTCTGCATATGACAGTTTCGTCTGACTGTGTATTTATCAGTTCAAAAACCCTTTACAGGAGTTAGTGACTACGAAACAATTCGATGCGTGAGAATAAATTGAAGACGGGACGTTTTTGTTGTTATGCATCTCTAACGATCTTATTTATCATTCAGGCTGTGACGATCATCTTAGCAATAATCATATCCATGTAGGCTATCATTTCTATGCTAATGGTGTATCCAAAGTGATATCAGTGAACCCACTGACTATGAAATTTGGTGTACCTCAGGTACAACACACCTGAGATCATGGGTGAGTTGCGTTGACGAGTTCTCACCGAGGGGAACTGGAACTTATCTATCCAAGTTTTAAAAACCTGTAAAGCAGGCTTGATACCCAAAGAAATGTATTGGCCAAAAATCCAAAAAATACTACTCACCATTAATGTTTTCGGACTGCTACCAACTTGACGTTGAGTGTTTGCAATTGCCTTCTCACTCAGTTCTGATGGTAAATCTTTTTTATCATAACTCAGCACTTCAATAAGTCTATCTAAATCCAATTCTTGTTGTGAATGCTGGAAAAGAGAAAACGCTTCGGTTGTAAATGTCTGCTCTCCTTCAAGTGACAAGTCAGAATTGGGAGAAATATATGTTGAGGTTATATAGTTAAATGTTTCTCAATCATAACACTTTTTATGTTCTATGTAAAACAATTCAAAATCCTAATGAAGGTCATTTTGTTGTGACAGAGAGCAAAGTGCCACACTGAGACTAATCGTACGAGTTAAGACTTGTGAACTAGTGTCGAAAAGTTAATGTTATAGCTTCAGTATTCAAATTTTTGATTTTCTAAGTTGTAGTCGTTTAGAAGAGTGGTTAAATCTTTGAAAATTTTGACGATATCAATGAGTAAACAACTCCTGAGTTGAATTTTTTAAAAATGTTTTATGAAGCTATCGAGGTTGCCAGGGTTCATGAGTTAATGATACTGTTAGAGTTTTGGATTAAAATATAAACACTCACTGGAAACTGTAGCTCTAATACACCGTTACTGTGCGAACTTTTTCTAACTTGAAAAGGATAAATATGTCAAAGGTCTGTGAGACTAAATAAATGTCTACGAACTTTACGATCAGCTCAAATGTTCCCATTTTGACAGGAAACATTCACAAAGTAACGAAGTCAAAAGCTTAACTGATTAAAAAGCGCACTGAGTAGGTCAAAGTCAACCAAGGAGTTGCTGTAGGATATTGTGATTCTAGGACTTTACTAGACGAATGACTAAATACTACACTACTATTTCACTATTTAAAATTTGTCATATTTACGGAGGACATAGATTTCATCAGTTCATCAGTGATCTAATGGAATAGTCAGTTAAAACTCAGGAAATCTGAATATCTCCACAGTTTCAACTGATGAACTCAGAAATAATTGCAGTAAATTCTACCCAAAATTATTCATCATAGATGATGACTGAGACTAAACGAAAAACCACGTTGAATCTGTAACCTTGAGACGGTTTGTTTAAGTCTCTCAAGGTCACACGTGTGATTCAAACTTCAGGCACTATCCATGTGCAGATTTATTAGTAGCGAATGCTTGTTGAAAGCCATCAGGTATCGAATGTTTTCGAAACAATCTGTACTACATTGTCAGCCATATCTTCAATCATGTGAATTGGAAAGTGGATAATTGTTGTAGGAGTCATATGGAATCCAGGCAGTATCACTTATTACAACTAAACGATACTACTATGCGGTATAATTGATTCATATTACTGGTGCTTTCTTATCACTAGCAGTATGTGTTCCACATAAGTTGGAAGTGTTCAGCTAAAACCTCCTTCATGAAATAGAAAATCTAAGGTAATTTGTTCTTCTTCATTTGTACACTAATATTTACAAAACCTTATCTGTTTTTCCTATATAAAGTGCTAACCAAATAAATTTAAAATGCAGATATTTTAAAAATCTATCAAATCAAATGAGAAGACTGTTTCTACTGCTATTTATCCGCATGATGTCAAGTGTTTAGAGGCAATCGGTGTGTGACCCTACTCAGCCTAGATTTCATGCTTATCGGTACTCGTCAGCAAGGCATATATTCAACCTCGAGGGAACTGGTTTTCTCTCAGACATTCAACCTGAGCTACTTAGTGCTACAGTCAGATCATTACCAATGAGCTTTTCAGGTCGCAACGACCTCATGTAGGACTGGATTAAATATATTGTTTGGGAATAACTTCTTACTGTCTAATCCTATGTGATGATCGGATTCTAACTCTTGTTTCGTAATGTGATCACCAGGCTAGGAGACTCGACATGAGTCGATATCTGGTTGTTTTTATGCGTTTGGAGGACTTCCTGTCTAATTCCCCTTAAGCACCTGATCCTTCCAATTCACTCCTAGTGGTGACCTTGGATGTGCGCGGTTGTCCACCATCACGTACTCAACCCAGGCACACGATAAGTCAAGCAAATCCACCCTTCCAATCGCTGACACCAGAAGATAAACTCTGGGGATTATTGTTTTATATATAGCAGATGACCCGGTTCATCTGTTTATACACAACTGAATTATCTACCTCACTACAACATACCATAATTTATGAAGATGAAACAACCAATTTCAACAGCAGTGAATGAGATAATGCACAATAATGGGTGGGGTTCACTCAACAGGGAGTTGTTTCCGAAATATGAGTGATACATAAATAGATCAAGCGTCAGTTGAAAGTCCTTGAGGCGAGCCAGCTATACAATAATGTAAGCAACTAACTCAAGAGTAGAATGGCTTTTCAGATAAATAAAATAATACGACTGATGGTACTTATCTGAGATTTAAATCTTTCACTAATCGGCTGATATAAATGCCTCCAACCAACGAACTTCTGTCAAAGTGTATCGTGTTAGTGAGTTTCCTAGCTTGGTAATCGAATATCAAAAGGATCCACAGGACTTGAATAACACATGGAGGTATACAAAATGAAATTAACTAGTATCCAGTGGCTAACCATCTTATCCATACGTTCTATCAAATCCATTCGTACAAATTCGACCGGTTCTTTCTATGTATGTATGTATACCAATGTATATAATCATGTTGGTTGGTAATTTGAGAATTCTGTTGTTACACAGGTTTGTTCTGAATTTCGGCATTTCATTGGGAACTGGCAGCAAGCACCCATATTCAAGTAATACAAGCTATGGACCAGAAAACGGTTAGGGGAGGAGTAATGCTTGGTTTAATTGAAGCTACCATTACTAGATGGAAATTCAGACATACTACACCTCTTACGCAGTGAGAACAACATGATATAGCACTGATTATCTCGCAAATCAGCTTGACGACATTTCGATTATACTTTAAGTCACAGACAGTAACCACCTAGAGAATCGGTGAAAACTAAGCACTACTAGATGAGTATTTCATCCTAACTTGTAACTCTTTTTTGTTGTGGATTCCTGGCAAAATATTGATCTACCGAAATCGTTTAAGCTGTCACTTAGATGGGAGACCAAGTTTGAGATTTCAGATTTTAAATCTTCAGCACTACAGGCTTCCTTCTAGAATTCAATCAAAAATCCACTAAGCATAGTTACCCCAAACAATTTAATTACAATTTGTGACCTACTTAAAAGCAATATCAGTAGACTAATAACCCTACACATGTTTATACCTGTAGTTACTTGTCTTAGTTTCAGTGCTTACTTCAATAAATGCTTCTTAGCCTTTTGGATGTATGCATTGGCTCAGTGGTAAACGTCAAGTATCCAGAGCTTAAATATCTTTCAGGAAAGAGAAGAAAATTTGTATCTCAAAAGTTATTAGCGGGTTCAACCTTTATCATGCATAAAAAATCATGATCTCATGAAAAATCGTGAGAGTTACAGTGTCTTAGTCTATAGAATCCGTAAACTTGAATTTCATCTGAGTACCAATCAATTATTATGGACATATGACTGGGTATTACCACGTCACAGTCCAAGTTGCTGGCAAGTATACCCGTCTCCTTAGGTCCTCTAGAGGGTAAAGATCCTTTCGATACTCTATAGTCTGGTTTAAAAACTACCAGTTTGCTATTCTGTAGCTTCAGTTAGACATAAGGTAATTAGGAGGTCTAAGATCTTTCGTAATATGTTGGTTGAAATGAAGCTTCCCTGATTGTCTTAAATTGAGACCAGTAGCCAATAGTTTTATACATCATAGTATTATTAAGTAGACATCTAAGCCTCTGGAACAAATTTGTTACTCGACATTTATAATTCCAATGCTGTTTGATAGACATCTGTTGTAACCAGTGAGTGAGAACCGAAGAAAATTGTTGCATCCAACTCAAAACTGCTCAGGAATAGGAAATGTCAACAGTTATGCAGATGTTAAAACGACATCGTTAAGCAACTGAATCACAATACAATGCAATCACAGTATAATGGTCTAATAGATGATAATAATGATAGCAATAATAGTAAAAATAATATTACAAGCAGCTGACATACCATAAACTGATGAAACAGATAAATTTTATTATTTTCAACTCATGTAAAGTAAACAGTTTACATTTAGAATGCAAAATTGATTAATTTGTTCATTCAATTTTACAAGTTGTAAAACCGATAATCGACTATCCACAGAAGTGAAACACTGATGTCCAGAGGGTAAGGATAATCTTTTTGAAAATGAAGCAAGTAAATTAACTTATTTGAAGAAAAAACTTTTCTTTCAACTTATTTCTTTGGCGTGTCTGTCTGTATGTATGCGTGTGCAGCGCTAATCCTTAGAACTTTCATCTAAACTAGGCAACGTCGTTCTTGACAGTAACTTTAAGTGCCACCCACCCTAACAATGATTGGAATAGCCAATCAGATTTATTTCTTATGACTGAAAAGGGATATTTTCATAAAATCAAGAAGTCTAATTGGCTATTTCAGTTATTGTTAAGGTGGACTTTAGGAGTCACTCATCTTTGGCCAGCCTATAGACTAAAGTGAATAAACTTAGTTGAAAGCAAGTAGTTTATGCATGTTTGCTTATCAGTGCTTGTGCATGTGCGTGTAACTTTAACCAGATAACGAGTTATAATTATCATTATATTCTGCCAAATCTGTACGCTTAACTATTCCTCATCGAAAGAAGAGTTTAACTTATTTCTGGAAGACGATCTACATGCGCTCAAACATACGCCTGTACGTACGTACGTACAGACACATTTAGCACATGAACAACTACGTATGAGGCAAAAAGGGAGAGACATCGGTTCATATGGTAACCAGAGTAAATAATTCATTAAAGTAGATATGAAAGAAATAGTTATTTACACTTTAGATTCACCAATGTTATTTTTGAGAAAGAAAAGGTTCTTTTCAATCGTCTAATTGGATAACTTGACTACAATTTGTGTTTGATTGACGGAATTCTTTTTAAAGAAGGAAATTTTACATATACACTAGTGGATTACAAAAACATAGTCTTGTTGTTTAAATATTTTGTAGGTCAATGATGAAACTTTTTTTCTTTTGTTTGAATTTTATGCTTTCGAATGATTTAACCTTGGAAAATATTAACCCTCTATCTCTTTCCCTATCTATTTGTGTGTGTGTTTGTGTGTGTGTATTATTCGATAAGTATTGAGTAAATAGATGGTCTTTTAATAAGTACATACCAATTAAAAGGGTTTGTGAAGAATCGATTAATTTCAACATTGATTGCAGAACCTGAAGTTACCAATGCGAAAGTATGAGGTGTGGGGTTAACCAAGATGAATTATTTGAAGACACTTGTTTACAGACGAAACTAAATGATGTTCTTACAACACCGTGAATTAACGGAAGTTCTAAAATATGAACGAACCATGAACAGTAACGTGCTTTAGTCAAAACATGAAAGTGTTGAGTTCTATCCAGCATGAAGTTTTATTTTGGAATCGCTGAAAAGTCCTACACCATGGTCAAACTCATGTCCATTACGGCCAGATTTCAATAGTGCTTTAATAAATTTCCATTAGTGATAATTACTTTGAAGTGGATATCAGTCAAGTTCCTAGTGTGAGTAGTTCGAAACACGCAAATAGAATGAACGATCTGTAAATTTTTACAAATTATACGGTGCAAGTTGACATTTCTACTGACTGAGTTTTTCAACTGACCAACTGTGGTGTCAACAGTTTCCACTGGAAACCACTCAGCCAATCTCTGACACATGTGTCATGAACCAGTGAAAGATACTACTGCACATTGGCCTAAGTGATTTCTAACTACTCAAACTGTTGAGAAGTAGTTTCTTTCGCTGCTGGAAACACGTGTAATGTTTAAATATTACAGATGAATCCTCACCGATGGTAGATCTTCTTCGAGATTATTTCCGTGTGTTGTATTCGTGCTTTTTATGCACTCAGTTTATACTACTTTCTATTATTAAGTAGCATGACTTGCGTAAATAAATATATTGATTCTTTGTACAATGCACTTATTTTTCATGGACTTATGTTTCTTCACAATGTTATTCCGCTAAGATTGTATTTTGCTCATTTTAGTATTCTATACTGAAGTTAGTGCTGATGATGTCGTCCAGAAAGACGATGAAAGCTTCACGATTAAGCAACCGAGCTCAGAGAACACAATACAACCAAGAGTATTATAGTGTCTTTCACATTCGATGAATGTATCGTGCTCTTTTAACTCGTTCCCCTGAGGCTCTATCTTCTTTTGAGCATTCGTTCATCTTAAGCTTTGCAGCTTATTCCGTGAATCCTTGAGTTTTCAACATTCTTTGAAGATGATTTGTTTTGGAAACAGCTATGCCGTTTGTTTTGTTGACGCATTTCTTAGGTATCAGACATCTCAGGACATGAGGTGGTTATAGCGCCATATTTCAGAGAAATCCTGTGTTTTCGATTTCGCGCATCACTCGAGCCTTTTAGTTTATCTGTCGAAGAACCATCTGGTCGATTTTGGTTTCAGACTTCAGAAAAGACACTCTCAATCAGTATATCGCATAATATAAAGGTTGCTGGACTGAGGAATTTCCCGTTAGGAAACTTTCTAAACAGAATTGATGAGTTATTGTCAATATATTTATTGGTTCTTCTTTAAGAGTTTTCTTCACTACCTTTGGTTGTACGTGAAAGGGCGATCAGACATCGTATCACCCTAAATTAATTGTTCAGTTGATGAATTATACATAATTCCGGTCCACCAGTATTCATTTGTTTAGTAACTTTTAACTGGTATATATTAATTTCATCATACTGCATACAAATATACCTTTTATCGCACAATAACAATACGTATTTGTTTGTTAGTTGTTCTGACTTTGATGCCAGTTCAGTTGTATATAAGGGTCAGTAAGTTGATTCTTGTGAGCAAGTATCACTCAGCCATTCCATGCTGACATTCGATAAGATCATGTTGATGAAAACATTGTAGCACTTACTGTGAGTTCGCAACATGATGTAAAACACTTAGTGAGATTCAGTCCGTCGAGAAGTAAAGCCCTCAATAAATGTTCAGACAGAGTTTACAAGTATCAACGCCAATAAATACACAGATACTTAAGAAGGTTCAGAACCCCTTTATAGACATCAAATATTTTAGTTGCTTTGTATGATAATGGTTTACTATATCAAAGACAATTTATATCCATACGAGAAAATGGACAGTAGGGTCGTTTACAAGCAACTGGAAAACTCCTAATCCAGCCAAATCCACAGGTCTCTCATGGTGCATTAGATAATCAGAGGCACATCAGCGGGTTAGTTTGCTGCGATGTTGGTTTTAGTAGTGTATCACATAACAGAGTATCTCGTCAATCAGATCAGCTACTTCTAGACTTCCTTGGCTCAAACTAGGTATACGATCTCGGGTTTTCAACTACACAACTTAGGCATACTGGCAAATACAGCCAAAACAGCACTACCTACTCAAATGATTCAATCCATGTTACAGAGGATATGTCAGAAAACTCCAAGCAACATAAGGAAAAGTAATTTGAAAAACTAGCAGATGACTGAAGAGTCCCTGTAATGTATCCACATCGATCCTGTAGAATTCATAAATGGAAGAAAGTATAGGACTGATGCTGTTGAGCAGTTCACTTGTCCCAATACTTACCTGAGTCTAAGTGAAATAAGTACAAATTTGTTTAATCGTTACAATGGTAAAAATGCCGTGGTATCGATTAACTAGACATAACTGATTGATTCGACCTTTGGGGATTTTTGCGAAATCAGTGGTATACAACATTGAAATTCGACGTCTAAAACTATGAGGGATATTTCTACAAACATTTGTCTGTTTCTTTTTTTGAAATGGGAGGGAAAAGGTCTAGGAAATGTCATTCTTCAGAATGTAGGCAGATCAGTCTCTGCATTACGCGTTTTTATGGGTCCAATTCAGTTACTACAAGCTATGTCACAACACAGACTCCGCAGAACAGCATTCAGGAATAATTTTTCGCGACCCAGTAAACGTTTACTAGTCAGTCACAAGAAACGATTGAACTATCCATCTCTATTTCAAATACGAGGTATTACTATGTGAAATAAGATTAACAAGACCTTCAGGAAAAGCTTTAAATCTCCGATGCCGTTCACAACGGATCACGATGCACCGAAGAATCGAGAGAAAGCACTTGAACCAAAGTGTAAATACCAGATTGGTTGGACAGGCAAAAATCAGCAGGATATTCGATTCTAGAAAGGTCTAGAAATATTCAAGGTCACTGCAAATATATATAAAACTTCATATATTGTATATACCTTTGACGCTGCGATATACCTTCTCTTACTGGTATATACATAATTTATGTTATATCAAGTGACTACAAGAATGTAACATACTCAGTACTCAGTATTTCTAGCACTCACAATTTATTCTACAATTGTAACAGTTAGCTGATATTGTTTGGTAGGTGTCGGGACTAGGTGCACACAACTTACAGGTTCTGCGTTGGAACGAAACACATGTCTTTGGTCTCATTGCTCTCCCCTACAAAATAATTTCAGAGTGAAATAAAAAGTTTTGTTGAAGTCTGTTTTAACTTTGAATTGACGGTTTGACCAATTGTTCTGGTCTTAACCTCGGTTTTGGTCTCATACAGGATTTTATAGTCAACAGACGGAAGTGAATGCCCAACATTGGTTGTCACTGGTAGTCTTCTCCGAGTTACTATGTGCAGCCACTAAAGTCCCACCAGAGGAATTAGAGAAGACAGAGTTAGACTGATAGCCCACAACACACACCATTACTTTGTATGTAGCGAGATATATCGAAAACGTTCAAGGTTCTAAAGTCGTTGGCGATCTAGTCAGAATGCTGAAGCATGAGAACGGATACATACATGAAAGATTTTCATAAATCATCGGTTGTTGTTGTCATTCTTCCTGGCTATGGATGCAGAGAAGCCTTCGATCAGAAGACTGACACATAAAAATGAACTGATTACTTCAGCTCAGAAAATCAATAGACTTCTATTCAATGAATAAGAGGTGGTATAATCAACAAGTTCATGGTGAAATCCGGGATGTTTGATGTAGGATTCCGGTGACGTGCAATTGCATCTAGTTGAAGAGAACTGTAATAAGTAAAAAACTCAAATGAAACCAATCTGCTAGCCACTGCTGCATAATTTTATGACAAATTTAATCCAGCTGAACTCTCTTTAGCTGCTAACATTATCCAGTGTTTATTGAGTACATAACTGGTAACAGTCTAATCGGTAATTCGATTCTTGTTTGTAATTTTGAGTCTCTGAACACTTTTCATGTGATACCACACCATGGTCAAAACTCTTCAAATCGATTGATTTAAGTGTTGCAAGCGTTGGAATACCTAACCACACGATGAACACCATAAATGTTTCTTGTACCAGTTTCAAGAGGTGCAACTGCTAAACTGATGAGGAACATAAGTATTCCTTAGAAAACTTGATACATGAAAGGTAGTCTTATCTTACATTATTTCCACCGATTACATGTATGCAGTTGGATATATTCAACTTTATGCTTAGTACCTGACTACCTGACTACCTGAGTCAGATTATGTTAAATCATCCTACTGACTAACTAATGAAAGCTTTGAGAAATTATATGTAGATGGTGCACTTTTAGTCTGTTGTTGGTATATATGGGTGATTACTCGAAAAATTACGTTAGGCTTCACCCTTAAGGGTCGTTCAGTTCCTCAAAATAAAAAGGAGCGGCAAAAATGATGAAAAATTGATTTCCATGCCAGACATGTACAAAAAGTAACGGTTCATATATTTTTTCGATGGCCTTGATGTGTTCTACCCTTTTCTAGAAAACCCTTTAGCCATTCTGGGACCCACATGTATGAGTACGTAGTTTTTCACGGAGTTTTGGCATGCCATGATTGACTGTTGAGACTTTTCACGGAATTACAGGCTTCTTTGAGGAGTCTAAGGGATATTGTCGCACTTTATAACACCTGATCAACAATCATAATGTCTGGAGGCGGGGAGAAACTTCATATTCTTCGAAGTGATGATGCAATTATAAAAACTAAATAGAATGTACAACGGTTGTCAGTTTCGCGACCTCTTGACCACACTACAAATTGGAAAGACAGAACCGAGTTACTCCTGAACAGTATGCCATTAGTTTCTCTCTCTTTGGCCAGTGGTACTGGGAGTCAGTCAATGCTTGAAGAGATCAGTCGTAACGTCCGTCACTTCAATAGTAAGTGAAGTGGATTCACATCCATACTTGAAAATGTTCCTTTCACACTGATGAGCGACAAAATGCATACAACCAACCCACCTGCCAGATTATCTACGCATTGTTTCTAATTACTTCACAGTAAGTAAAGTAGTCTTTCAGGATGAAGTCGGTAGATCTTATAAACTTGGAAACTTATTTTTTGAAAACCGCAGTGAATAATAATATGTATAGGTCTGTGTCACCTCATCGTCTTCATTTTATTATGCGCTTTGTTTAAAACTGTAATGATAAAGAATATTTAAATATGCTTCATGCTACTTTCTGACACATCGAAGGATTCCAACACAGATGTATACACTTGTTGTCACCTTTGAAGTGCTAAATATCATCTACTTATGCTACCTTGTCAAGTACGGTTTTGTTAACGTTTCAGTAAACTTCTTTTCCGATCCAACTTTTCTTTGAAAGCGGCTGTAAAGTCTGATAAATTGTGTGCCAGGTTGTACGTTGGTCGCCTGTCTGTCTGTTTTTCCTCAGTATACATCAGTATAAACAGGATAGCGTAATCTGTTTGACCATCTGAGATAGTCGTGGTTCAGTAGACTTGTGCTGATATTGGATGATGATTGAAGGTGAGATGGAGATCTAAGCGGCTGCAGGATTTCAACCGGCAACCTATAAGTTACCTGTTTGGTGCTCTACCAGCTGAGTTACAGAACCCATAGTCAGTCGTTGATCTCAGTTGGCAATCAGCAAAGAACACATTTATTAGGCTTCGAACCCAGCAACATAATTATATAAATAGTTGATTAGGCTTTCCTTTTGAATGGTTTTGTCAGATGATAATCTTGCATTATCAGTAAGTACATTCTTCTTCAGTTCACAATGCTATTTAGGTATATTGTATGCCTTGCAATCAATGATTATTATTCTGTGGTACAGAATTCCTTGTGAGTGGCAGTTTTCATCGAACGAAAACTTGCATTACGGCGAAACTGAAACCAGCCGGTTCTCACTTTTTCGTTTGGTGTTCTGCAAACCAAGGTATGAGACAATCACTGCTTACCATGTTTCCATTTTACTTCAGTTGTCATAACACCGAAATGACAATTCAGAAGACTGTGTTTTGAATCTTGCCATAGCCTATGCTTTCTTTAAAGTCTAACCATCACTCCCTCACACTAAGTTTAGTCTGTTGAATATACTTACGTGGTATGAGTCATTTTGAACTGGGATCTGAAAAGATTGATAGCTAACGACACATTAACACAGGCTAGATGACCTACACTTTTCTGCATGACACAAACTAACAATCAGTGATTACCTGGAAGTGTATAAATACCTGGAAAACAACGGTGTATTTCATAGATTGAATATAACGTACGTAAAACCCGTAACTAAATAAGTACCAGTTTTCCTAGCTGGATAACTAAGCATTAGCAGCTAATCGTCAGCAAGTTAGTCTAAGCTTTTAAAATCATGCAAAACGATTACTTAGCCCTTTACGCCATATGGAAGGCTAATACATACATCATGGAGTGACATAGTATTACTCAAATGATGATGCTAAGAGTACAGTCTACCCCTGATCAAGGCTATCGAAAATCTTTAAGTTTCTTTCCATAACTCCAGGCTCTTCTAATTCCCATTATCACGAGCAGTGAAGCTCCCAAGTGTGTGAAGAAGAAGCTGAGTTAGGCTTACCTCAACCACCAGAATGGTACGAAGTGGCCTAAATGGAAATCAGCATGTTAAGTCATCAGTCGCTAAGGTAAAAGCTTTGGATTTCACTTTTTTCTTCATGTAACTGTGTAGTGAAAGAGACCTTATTGGATAACGTTAGTATACAACTGACCAATCAAACTAGGCATGGTTTTAAATGTTCACAGGCCGGTCTTCATCTTCTGGCTTTCACGGCTTTCTGAAGTATCAGGTTCTGAGGGCGAACAGTCGATATTCGTATCCAGTCCAAGTATCCCATAGCATTATCGTCGTTTACCTATTTATTATTGTTTCTTCTGTCACTTCACCTGTCTTTATTCAGTAAATAAAGATTCAGTTATCAATCTCTTCCTGCATCTAATTCAGTTAGCTTTACATGTTATCTCTTTATCCAACACTGTGGTATGGTTGTATGTTATTAGATGCATGGCAATGTTTACGCTTCTCTTCACTGTCTAACACATTTGATTCACCTAGATTTTCGTCGTCCAATGACACGATTTAACCAGACCAACTATTTTTACATACAACCTATCCTTGAAATCATTGTAAGGGATTTGGAAGACTAAATTATCGAAATGAACAAATTAATAAAAGATAGACTATTGAAAATGTTTCTAATTGAAACACAATTTTAAAAGTTTGCTAGCAATGGAATCCAAGATGCATATTTCCATCCCCGGAATCGCCATCTCGATATGCAAACATCCCAGTGAGTACTAGTATAGAAATTTCCAAAGACCAATTCAGACATTTTAAACGAAATATGACCAATTCTGTGTCATAGCAGATCACGTCACCTTACTTAAAGTGTCAGATTTCCGTTTCCAGTCTCTAGGAGAAATGATGACACACTGAGAGTGGATGCATGTAAGCACAGCTGATGAGTCTTAAATTAAACGAAATACAAGTCCTTAATTATTTCACTGATAAATAAACACTCAATATAAAGCTATGATTGGAATAAATTCAATATCAGTGCTTCCGCACAAGGAACTTATATGCCAACAATAACGGATGAGTCCTCTGCCGTATATTAACAACAAAGAGTATCAGAAGCATTTTCAATGACAAAACTGTTTGTTACTAATTGTTGATATACTTGTAATTCTCCATTGTTTCATTGGATCGAATTGTTTAACCTCTATTGGCATATAGACTCCTATGTGGATGCCTCGATATTGTCTGGATGTGAATTATGGTAATTTAGTTGGTTGTGGCTAGCAGAGGAATTCAAGAAGCGGGTTTGTGTTTATATCTGTACACTGAGGAAGGAACTTCCCCGAAAGAAAAAAAACAAAAAGGAAATTGAAACAATAGAGGTCAAAGTATTCTCTTACCTCCCCTCAATTACGTGTACATTAGGCCGAATAATTAAAGAAAATATAATGTGACTACTTTTTTATAATATACATCATTATCTAAACATTCCTTTAAAATTTTTCAAATAGGTATTGACTAAATAAATCAACTAAGACAATAGGGTCTCACTCGTATTGAACTATTGATCACTTATTCAGAAGGAGCATATACATATATGCTTAAAACAAAAAGGAGATTGAATTCAACATGTTCAATCAACACGTGATGCATATGGATATAATGATGTGTATATACCCTTCTTATCAGCAATATTTTGTTTAGCTTTACCTAGACAGATAGAAGAAGCAGTTGTAGCCAACTGTAGACTTTTTAAACTTGTGTTCAAGTGGGATTTTTGAATATCTAATGTGATGATCAGTAGAAATTTTGCATCACCAGACAAAGCTGGTTTAAGGATATGCGTTAACTTTGAATCTCTAAATGGTATGTGTACATGTTTTCGTGATGCTGCTTCTCTTTCACTTAAGCTTGTCATGACACGATTCAGTACCACCAGAGAAGTATCCATGCATCTAAAAAACAAACAAATGTTCAAAATTATTAGAGGAATTTTTTTTGTGGAGTAACTGTTTAGTGTGAAAATAACGTTTTTCATAAAATGAGATAAGCTGAATAACGTATGATGATAAGAAAGCCACTTAATGTCTAATTGCACACAAACTCCGTTTCATGAGGCGTCAGACCAACCAGACACTGACAAGTGCCAGTGATTCATTGAAGAAGTGAATGTCAATGAACAGTGATTCGTAAACTCAACTAGTTTGTGCCATGATCTCCTACTACTATCTGCTTGTATTCATCAGCATTCACGACTTGAATAGGCCATAGCCAGGCTGTGTCACAAATCGTCTAAAACTGTCAAGAATATCAGTCTCAGTCTACTATGTTTAAATGACGGAGTATTGACCATGTGTTATGTTGATTGACTGTACCTTCACTTCTATTGTGATATCGAATGGGCAATGTGCAAGAGTTTCATCAAGAAGAACCTAGAAAGTTAAGTAGTATTTCTTGGCTTACGTGAATTGCTCAGTCGTCTTCAATGAATTCAACTTTAAATGGGCAATTTTTACCGTAAATTCCTCAAAATTTAGAAATCGCTGAAGACGACTGGGCGCTGTTGTGCATTTGTTCAAACATATGGCATATGCGATTTGTCGACGGCATATTTTTATTTCCTTAATACACCTAGATTTCATGGTATGATTCAGTCATTCAGTTTCAATATACAACTTGGCATTGTTATGTAACGGTCCAAGATACCATACTTCACATCAACCCATCAAGAGACGTGGTAAAAAGACGAAAGTCAGACAATAGAAACTGACCAGTTAAAAGTTGTATAAAACCATAAGAACAAAATAAAAAGGAAGCTAAGGAAAATAGTTAAATACTACGTAATAATTAACATGTGAACAAAGAGTGGATGCGTCTGGACCACTAAAAATGGTCATATCACCTATCGTCTCCAACCGCTGACTTCAGTTATCTATACGGATCCCAGAAGTTTACGCGGCTCAGACCAACAATAAAAGATGAGTGTCATGTTTTATTCCTGCCACTTTAACTTTTTCCCGTCCTAACTCTTGGCCAATTAAAATTCGAGTTAAAATGACTACAAACTGTTTTTCAATTGGTGGATTACTGGGGCTATTTAACATCAGGTTACTGGAGCAGATATTTGAGTGACTGTGATAGGTCAGTTTCTAGAGTTCTACGACTCTATTAAATAAGGTAGAGATAATGTAGGCATGGCTGAAGAAGGCATGTCACTATCGGCTATCAATTCAAGTTACGTGATTAGACCCGACTGACAGCTGCTACCTTGACGTGGTGGTCGGGCTTGCATATCACGATGACCCAACGAGCTATGCTGGTGGAACGCTTGTTCCCTCGAGGTCCTACCATACCAGAAAGGTCTGTTGGATAGTGGTTAGACGAAAAGCAGTTACCGTTATAGTGTAAATTACTACACTATGATGGGGGTCTGAGGGCGAAGTCGTACTGCTGCTAGCTGGATGGGGTGTGACAGCAGTAAGGTGTTTCCCTTGGATGACCAGCAGTGCCATGCTGATGCTGCCTTCTCAGTGGAAGGGGGGGTTAGAAAAGGTCGGCCCCAAAAATAACACACTCCACCACGCCCCACGGTCTGCCGGGCCGGCGGTGTTGGTTCACTTGTCGTTTCCTTTCGACCATCCGGCCCCAAAAATACAAAAGTTCAAAATAATCATACTCAAAAGGCTGGGTGTGACAGGCCTCAAGCAGATGTCCGATGGGCTCTGCGGTCACACAAATCTCTTTCAGGTACCTTAAGAAGAAATAGCCTTCCACGGTGTGGGCAGCCGGGAAGTGTCAACCGCCCTCACAACTCTGTCAGCACTCAAGTTTCTTCTGACTGCTATCCTCCTCCTCCATCATTACCTTCTAATCTTCCTTCACGTCTCTTAATTAATGATGCTGCATCATCTTCAATTTCTCCTACCTCTGCAGCCTTCGACAACGATCTGAGTCCACAGAACAGCATCCCTGGTCTCCTTAAACCACGCTCCAAATTACATATTGGAGCCTTCAATGTCCGCACCCTCCGTCAAATTGGCCAACAGGCTTCGTTGGCAAAGACTCTAGCAACTCGGGCATGGATGTGTGCTGTGTTTGTGAGACACGCATACAGGACCCAAGTGTGGTTATTCACCTGACCTCTCCTGACCAATCTGGTGAATCTGCAAAATTCACCCTTCGAGTTTCTGGAGATTCGATAGCTAGCTCTCGTGGTCTTGCAGGTGTAGGTATAGCATTAAGCACTAGGGCAGAAAACTCACTACTAGACTGGATCCCAGTTGATAGTCGCCTCTGCGCTATGAGGCTGAACGGCACAGTGAGAACTAAAAGGAATAGTGAGACTCGCCGTTGTCTCTTTGTAATCTCTGCTTACGCACCCACTGACTGTAGTTCGGATGAAGTGAAGGACGAGTTCTACCATAAACTGTCTAACCTCCTCTCGAAAGCCAAACGTTCGGACGTAGTGGTTGTTGCAGGTGACCTCAACGCACAGGTGGGTAGACTGAGTGAGGCAGAAAGGCACTTAGGTGGCACTTTCGGAATCCCAGCTGAACGTACAGATAACGGTGATCGCCTATTACAACTATGCTCAGATAACCGCCTATTTTTAGCCAGCACCAATTTCAGACATAAAGAAAGGCACTGTCTGACCTGGCGTCCACCGAGCTCAACTCAGCGATGGACACAGATAGACCACATTGCTATTAGTCATCGCTGGAGAGGATCGGTGGAAGACTGCCGCTCCTTCTGGAGTACGTGTTTGGACAGCGATCATGCGTTGGTCCGAGCACGTATATGCCTGCGTCTCAATGGACGTAGAAAAAATTTGGCAACAAAACCACTACGAGTTCTGCTGGACAACGAAAACACCAAAGCCGTGTTCAGTGAGAAGTTGGCTAGGCAGTTATCGGAACAAAAGACTGTCACTCATCCAGAAGAAGCTTGGTGCCATCTTCAGTCTACTGTAAAAGCAGCACTGAAGACTGTAGCCGACTCCAAGATAATGGCTAAAAAGAGCCAGTGGATATCAGCAGCTTCTTCCAAACTAATGGATGCACGTGAATGCATCCCTGCAGGCTCTGAGTACAATGAAGAGCGAGCGCAACTTAAAAATAAACTGACGAAAAGTCTGCGCAACGATCGTGAACAGTGGTGGGCAGCGAAGGCTAAAGAGATGGAAAAGGCAGCGGCGATCGGTAACAGTAGACAGTTATTTAGACTTATTAAGGAGACTGGGGGGAAATGGTCAACAACAGTTAGTGAGGCCATAGCGGAGAAGGACGGATCTGCGATTCACTCGCAGGGGAGACGACTGGAACGATGGGCAGAACACTTCGAGGAACAGTTTAACTGGCCTCCAGCCATCATTGCGTTGCCCTCCAACACTAGGAGAGGTTGAGAAAGCGGTAGGTAACCTGGAACGAGGAAGAGCAGCAGGACCAGACAGACTACCTGCTGAGGTATACAAGGATGGTGGTAAGGTGTTCTTAGTCAGGTTAACGGAAGTGTTAACCAGTATATGAGAATCAAAAACGATCCCCTCTGACTGGTCTAAATCACTGATTATTCTAGTCTTCAAGAAAGGCTAGAAGTCCTCTTGTGATAACCACAGAGGAATCAGCCTGACGAACGTAGTGTCCAAGATCCTAGGTTCTATAATTCTTCGACGCCTGAGTGGAGCTAAGGAATAGCAAACCCTAGAAAACTAAGCAGGCTTTAGACCCGGTCGCGGGTGTATCGATCAAATATTCACAATGCGCCGGGATTGGGACATAGGCACGCTTCCAGACGCCCTACAATAGCTGTATTTCTTGACCTGAAGGTGGCATTTGACTCCGTTGATCGAGACGTCTTATGGCAATGTCTCTCAGTGAAAGGCCTGCCGAGTAAGTACTACTATCGTTATTATTATTTGTCCCTTGGGTCCCTAATGGAACACAGGGCTTCAGTAGCACGTCTCCATTCCACTCTGTTATCTGAAATCTTTTGAACCTGGTTCCACAACAGCTCACAAGCTCTCATTTCTTCCTCGTACGGTCTCCTCCATGTCACTTTCGGACGCCAAACTCGTCGCTTCCCATTTGGGTTCCACTCGAGTGCCTCGCTTGACGCGTGATCTCCCCAGTCGGCCTTCTCAGTGTATGCTCAATCCATCTCCACTTCCTCCCACTGTATATTTGTTCAGCGATAGCTTCTTGGTTGGTTCGTTCCCAAAGTTCCTTGTTGCTTTTTCTCACTATTCTGGCCATTTGAGCTTCAGTAACGAGCCAGCGTAGACAGTTGTTGATGAATGTCTGTAGTTTGTTGGAAATGCCTTTCGTAACGTGCCAAGTCTCCTAACCATACAGGAGCACTGACTTGACGTTGGTGTTGAAAATCTGCATCTTTTTCCGCATGCTGAGTGCAGTGCAAATCTCCACACTGATTTCAGGCTAATGAACGCCTGTCTTGCTTTTCCGATTCTGACTTTGACATCCTCGTCTGTCCCGCCTAGATAAGTGAAGAAGGCTACTTCCTTGAAGTTTCTCCCGTTGATGCTCATTGGAGTTTGTTGTTGTTGGTTGAGTATCTTCATCACCTCAGTCTTCTCTATATTCACTTGAAGTCCCGTCTTCGCTGCCTCGCCTCTTTTGCCAACTTGTTAGTTTTCGCCCGTAGATCTTCCAGTTTGTGTGATATAAGACACAAGTTGTCGGCGAAATCCAAATCTTTTAGGTTCTTTCCTGCGGTCCAGCGTATCCCCCTCTTCTCACAGCTCCCCACTGTTTGCTGCATGATCCAGTCTAGTCAACCACAATCAAGAATATCATGGGTGATTGTAGGCAACCTTGTTTCACTCCTGCATGTCCACTTCAAAAGCATCACTGAGCTTCCCATTGTGAATTACTTGGCATGTGGCATCTTCATATAGTTGTTGAATGAGGCTGATAAAGATTTGTGGCACTCCGTAGTGTTGAAGCAACTGCCAAATTACTTGTAGGTCGACGCTGTCAAAGGCCTTCTCAAAGTCGATGGAATTGAGGTAGAGTTGAGTTGACTGCCATTCTTTGCTCTGTTCTATGATGATGCGTAGGGTAGTGTTGCAATTTGATCCGCACATGATTTGTACTTCCTGAATCCAGACAGCCAACGAGTCTGTTCCGGTCGTAGTTTTGAATCCAGTGTATCATTTAGTCTCTCCAGGATGATGCGGCTTAATATTTTGCTTGCTTGGGGTGAACAGAGACAGGAGCGTAATTCGGTGCCAGTTCTTGCAAACACTGAGGTCTCCCTTCTTCGGGAGTTTGACAAGGTAGCCCTTCTTCCAATCAACTGGCAGGTACCTTCCCTTCCTTCGAGACATTCTGCAATAGTGGTGTGAGCATGTCGGTTGCTGTTGTCTCTGTGTCTGTTTTCAGTGCTTGTGGCGGGATTCCATCTGGTCCTGCTGCTTTCTCCCGTTTCAGTAGCTTTATGGAGTTCAGGACTTCGACTTTTGTTGGGGGATTTGTGTTCACTTGTAGTTCTGCGGCTGCATGTTGTGGTCGATTCAAGAGTTTTTGTGCCGAGTAAGTACATCACCTTATTGAACGCTCTCTACTACAACACTTATGGGCATGTTAGAGCCTATGGCGAGTTGTCCAGGGAGCCATGCTCATCCAGCGGTGTCCGTCAAGGGTGTCCACTCTCTCCATTCTTATTCAGTTTCATCATAGATATTATCATGGAGATCTACCCCTCGTCACCTGATTACACAGACGTTGACTTAATCACAGGAGAACTTCCGTTAGACCTAGAATATGCAGGTGACATAGTTCTGTTAGGTGAAGACGCTGACAAGATGCAGAGTCTTCTGAACACTTTGAGTGGGAATTTGAGAATGTTTAGGATGTGGTTCTCATTACCCAAATGCAAATTTTTGCCCAAGGAATAATCTTCGACGGTGTCACGGTGGTTGAGTGTGTCAACCACTTCACTTACCTGGGAAGTAGGATCAGCCCCGGTGGGTCAGTTGCCGATGAAATCTCTGCACCGATACAAAAGGCTCGATTGGCTTTTGCCAACTTACGCCACCTATGGCGCCGCCGTGATATCTGTTTGTCTATTAAGGGTGGCGTGTACTGCAAAGCAGTCCGGTCTGTTCTACTGTATTGCTGTGAAACATGACCATTGAAAGTGGAAGATATAAAAAGGCTTCAGGTGTTTGACCACCGTTGCCTTCGTAGTATACACCGTATTCCATGGTGTCACCATGTAGTAATGCGGAAGTCATGTATAGAGTTTTGGGGAGAAGAGGTAAGTCAGTTGACGAGGTTGTGAACCTTCATCGACTGAGATTGTTGGGACACGTGTTACGTATGCCTAGTCACCGATTGCCTCATCACACAACGTTGGCCGAAGTAGGCCTAGGCTGGAAAATGGCCTGAGGTGGTCAGACTAAAACATGGCACCAATGTATGAAATCTTGGACTGTTAGCTTGAGGTATGTGGGCGATGCAGACTAGGTGGTTGTGGTCCGTGGTACAAGAGGAACAAGCGGTTGGAGACTCTAGGTGATATGGCTGAGAGCCGATGTCAGTGGCGCAGATGTATACACACATTATCCTCATCTTACCGACGCTATACCGAATCTCACCATTTTGTCATTTCTTGCTTCTTTCTTCTCGTACTTTATATATCTGTTGACTGCACTCTCTTATCTTCATCCTTCACCTCACTACCTTTCTAGTTGATGTACTGTACTGAGCTGTGGCAACTTGGACCGTTACGCAATAATGCCTAGTCCTATGTTGATATTGATGATGATGTAGTTAGACTTTAACCCAATAATGGCAGTCTTTTAGGTATCAGAAAGGAAAAGTTGAAAACAAAGTTGATCACAATGAGACGTACATAAACTTTTGTTCTTCAGAATCCAGAAGATCAGACCAACCACCATGCAAACAGCACAGTGGCAACGTTATTATACACAAGGCTGGATGACGCTGGATCGAATCTCTGTCTCGTCAGTGTTGCAGATACGCCTTGCGGACGAATGCCAAGAAGCCTGAGAACTAGGTCCGGGACTTCTTGTCGATTGTCTCCTACCAACTAACTTATATAGAGTTCTGCTATACCGCCTTATCACCCATCCAATCATGTCTAGTTAATATTTATCTTACTATTTTCTCCTTCTTCTTATTTTCAACTTGAAACTGTCGTAAAGTGTGACATCTTGAATCAATATACTGATTTACGAAGTTCTACATTGCTCAGGTTATTTACCTATCTGTCGATACATCTGGTACAGTTGCTTAACCACATGGTGAGAAACAACTGAATAAGGTTCTCAACAGATTTCATTTATTCAGTTGGCTTATGATAGATTTAAGGAGTGAATTCTTAGGAAACTGTTCTCCGCTTAAATTACGTGCTTGTTGGGACACGTGAGCAAGGCGTATATACTACCATGGGGAGGATGGTGTTCTGTTCATGGTTCAAACCTGTGTCACCCTATGCTGAAGACTGCGATTCTATTAGTAAACCGTTCAGCTCACAACTGAAACTCTATGGCAGTCTAGCATCACTTAGACTACTAGTCACACTACCAGACTTCATCGAAAGCCTTTTAGTGAGTACTGGATCCTAATGACTAGATAGTTACATCGTTTACTTTCCAATCTGTATACTAATTGCTTATTTAAGACGGCAGCATTGATAATCAGAAGTATGATTTGATGTTCCTTGTAGAATGTCAGTTCGTAGCATCAAATAGTTTTGAGTAATGTCATTCGTAAACGTTTTCTTATCTAATAACATGGGAAACAGTTATCGACTGATAATTCGATCAAATAGATCATTTGATAGACTGGCTTATCGATACTCTTTAGTCTACTGATCCTAACCTTATCAGCATCTTTCACACTTGCAGTAATCTGTTGCAATTATATGATCATAAACTGCAAGCGAAATAACCTGGTATAGAAGTGGTTATCGTAGTGAAGCAGTAAATGGAGTTGAGTAAAAAACTGAACTGCGTAGAAGCTCTATGTAAAAGCCTCTGCATAACTAACCTGACTGGTTTACTATTCACGATCATACTCGACAGTCTCATTATCATTCTGCAACAATACACTTGCCTAATTCACATGGATTTGGATTTGAGCAATAATATTTAGCTGGAACGTCGGCGTGACAGCTAGACTTCATAATTCAGTCAGTTAAACTTCACGCAGGCGATTTGAATCCAATAACAGTTTAAGTTTTTTTATCCACTTGAGTGTTCCACATTTCGAAAATGATAGATTTATTTGATAAGCAAACCGATTATCAAACATTTACATAAAATACAATACTCACTTGACTGCATGAGATTTATCATTGCTAGTGTTATTGTCTACTGGGACAGTTTGTACAGAATTCTCTGCTCCTCTGTTTCCGATTCGTTTTCAGTTTGTGTTTTACTAAAATTTGAAAATATTTTCATTTTTCTGCTACTTAACTGACTTTCCGTTTGTCGTTGTTGTTGTTCTTGCTGGTGCTGGTGCTGCTGCTTGTGGTGGTGGTGTTGGTAATGTTGTACATCTCTTAATTCAAAACCTGCCAAATCAGCAAACATCAGTAGACCATGAGTGGCAAATAGTAAATTTCTATTCTCCTGTCTTCCTTTAGCATTCTTATTTAACTGGAGAGCATCATATGCTGGTGACGATGGTGTATTCAAGTATTGCAAAGGAATTCCTGTTGTATTTGCGCTCATATTGGTCGAGCTAACCACATGTCTTGGTGTTGACTGTGATGAATATTTTCTACTATATACTTTGTTTTCACCTACTTGATGTATTTCACTGGCATGATTTGCAAGTAGACAGGCTCCTCGAACACGTATAATAATGATAAAGTGTAGATTCGATAAGGATGCTTGGAGTACTTTCGAGGAAGCATATCGACGTAATCTAGCCTTACTAAGATGAAATACAAAACACAAAAATAAAGTATCTCATGCCAACCAGAATTTTAAGCTGATACAACCGTTGAAGTATTCATCTGAATTATTTGCAGATAATTTAAAAAACTGATGCAACAGACACAATGATCAGCTCAATTGTCATCTCTTTCAGAAATCGGTCTAGTCGATCAGACTGAGTTAGGCGATAAAACAATCTCTTGTTACTTTGCAAAGAATTATAAAGCAAGTTGGTACATCACTTTTCATGTTGCTGAAACCAAACTGATTGCCCATAAATTCATATTTTATAGACTTCTTTGGCAAAGGTCTTGATATCAGTATGCGAATCATCTTCGTGAGAACTCCCTGGGGAACTGTATATCATCCAGTTTCTAACTAGGTAGTGACTTTTCAGCTCTACAAATCTATAACTCCAAACAGGATTCAACCGATAACATTCATTTCTGCCTGTGAGCACATTACCACAATTCAAACAGAGAGATGAAACGAGCTAAAAAAAAGTGCATAATTCCAACTACTGACCAGGTGTGATGTACTGCAACCATTACCTAATTGTCTTATTTGGTTACTCCTGGGCAATGACCACTTACCAACTGAAGGCAGTTGGAAACATGAACTACTGGATTAAAATATATTTGTAAGGTCACAGGGTCTTTATCACAAGAGTTGAACGCTTTTGTCTCGATCAAACATGATATTATCAGCACGCATCGATGAAGAGTCTTAAATCATGATGAAATGGTAATGAGGGGTTTCTACTTTCTACTGGCCTTTTAACTGGCATCAATCTGTGGTGGAAACCACTTTGTTTAGACCTCCAGTAGACGTTTAAGAAAGAAGAATCCATCTGAAGGTGATTTATAGTCATCAGAAGACTAACAATCTCCTCTACTGATGTTTGCTTCTACTTTACATCAAAATCTGTACATATCAGTCAACTAATTACTGGAGAGTAAGGCGTTTTGAATTCCCTTAAAAAAGATTTTGGTCACAGTTATCACTGAATGTTTACGATCAGTTTGAAATGAGAACATGCTGATTTTTAAAGAGATTAATTGTACATATTTAGAAGTCAAAGCGAATCGACTGGACAAATATTGATTCATGAATTTAAGAGGAAATCTAATCACACACAGGACTTTTTTAAAAAGAGAGGTATTCTCCTCTTCAACGACTTGGTTTCTGTTTTCTGAAGCGGTCAAGATAAAAGTAACATCAGAGATAATCAATACAGAGTACTGACAAAACGATATACAAATTTACTTTTCAGGCTATTCTAAGCGATTCACTTTATCTAGACAGTGGCTTTCTAAGTATAAAATGGTTTTGGTTCCCTGACTGGGCTGACGGAGAAATCAGGAATCAAAGTATTCGGGTTAGGGGGCATGGGATTTAGTGAAATGACTTTGAATCAATAGTCATGGAGAGGCTAAATATTCACCGGTTGCCATCTTCAGAATTCTAAAATTATCTCATTGATATCAATTGATTGATTTGGTGTTTTGTCATACTCTTCTTGATTTATTTTGACAACCAAGTAAATTACCATAATTAACATCCAGGAAATATTGAGGCATTCGCATAGGAGGCCATATCTCAATAGAAGTCGAACAGTTCTATCCGGTATCACAAAGGAGAATTACAAGCATATCAGTATATAGCAAGAAATGCTTATCGTGCTTCCGTGGCCTAATAGATAACGCCTTGGCTTTCGAAGTGATAGGTGTAATATTTGAATCTCAGTGGAAACAGTAGCACTCAGTGGGGTGCAGGCATATCCATGTCTACTTACTTTTCTTTTATGCATGATGTTGAAAATAGGGAAAAGTTAACACCTTAGTCTATTTTTCTGTCGAATAGGCACAAGTCTTTGGAAAATTTGTTCCTGGTTGTATGTTTTTGACTCAGTTGTTCGAAGGCGTTGGAAGGTCAGTAACCAAACTTCATATATGGAAATACTTGAACTGTACATGAATAATGATTATCTCACTTCATCATCTTACACTTCACATAGTCATGCAAATATGAGTAGACAAAGAGTGGCTTGTAACTGTGAGAAAGATTTTACTAGTAATATATATATATATATATATATATATATATATATATATATATATATATATATATATATATATATATATATATTCAAATGAGAGTGCTCTAGGATAACGGTTAGTTCATTTATCCTTATTCCTTCATTCAAACTTCAGACTGTCCAATAAGATTAGCAGTGATGGATAAAGGCTAGCAGTGGTACACAGGAAGTGTGTTCCATCCTGTTTCGGACTCGTCTACTGGGTGTACTAACCTCTCAGTGAGTGATATTGTACCCACTAGGACTGAAACCCATAACCAACCGCATCAAATGTCACATGGTTATCCACTAGGTCATGAGTCATTATAACCACTCCTTGTGCAACTGGCATGGTATGGTTTTCATGTTACAGATTATAGATCTCTATCGTTAAATGAACCAAATTGATTGACTGTGGGTTTGAGTTTTCAGGGAGCAGCATCACTCACTGGATGACAGGCACATCTGGCTGAATATTCCCAAATAGGACGAAAAGCGTGTTCTCGATCCCACTGTTAGCCACTATCCATTATTAATATATCAAAGAACGAAAATTCTGACAACATCAAGACATCCACATAGGACTCCATATGCCAATAGTAGTCACTCAGTTCAGCTCAATCAAAGACGGAGATTTACAAAAAGTTATGTTATGAATACCGACTTGTTTACAGTTTGGAAACGATAGATTTCTGTTACAGTACTCCATTTCGAAGCAGTTGTTCTCAGAATATATTGTTCAAACTAAGAACTACACAGCTGGGTACAAATTAGTAGTGGAATCTCTGCTTGTTTCCTTTTCATAAGATAGACAATGGTTCACTTAACACCATGACTTGGACGAGAAGAATGCAAGCAGATTATCTATATGATACATGAGTAGTTATGAAAATCAAACATAGCTATCATCAACACTAGAGTTGGGTACATCGTGGTTATCTCATACACTGGAAAGTCGTTTTTTATTCTCTTGAAGCCAGGTTTGACAGTACTATACTTGGGTTTATTTAGATCAGGGGAGAAAAGCTAGTTGAAACACTAGTTAGAATTGAATAAGCTGCTGAGAAGATGATATCAGTAATATCATGAGTTGCACTGTGCACAGTTTGACTTGATGAAACTCTAGGATGAAATTTTGCAATCGAATTTCATCTAGTTGTGAATTTCGTACTTTCAACTGTAAGTAGAGTAAAGATTTACACATCATCCAAGTTGGTGACGGAGCTTTCAGTGGCTTGAATGGTTTCATAATTTGAATCTTATGATGTTTAATGAACTGTGCCTTAAAGGAGATAAATGACTGTCAGGTTTTGAAGTCACTTAGATGAAGCCCGTGAGAGATACCGAATAAAGATGCCAACACAGGACTAAGGTTTGTGTTGGTAAACATTCCAATACATTCCAACACAGTCATCCAAGCATCACAACTTCACAAGGAAGTGAAGTATTTGATTTTGAAAGGATATTTATAACATACCACTTTGCATGAGACTAACTAATTTCATTTGTCAGTTGATGTGTGCAGGTGTATACTGAATCTTCATGTGTGAGCTTTAGCGACTAAAATTCTCAGCTGGGGTGTGAAACTATGCCACTGGATGACTTATTTTGTCCGTATGCAATACGTTGAAGTCAACTCATTGTGATCGGTTGACCCTCTTCTTCCCGACCACTCTCAGCTTCCGAGGAAGCTTACGTGAAAAAAGAACTAAATTCAACACGAGTAATGGACTTTCCTAGAATTCTTTGCACCTCTATAACCATCTCTGAAAAGTGGGAATTTCCAAAATGATGAACAACAAAAGATTCATGAGAAATAGTTCCAGTGATGAGGTGCAGACTCCGGAGGTATGAGTTAAGTTTCAAGGAAAAAAAGGGTTTGAAATCGCTCAAAGAAGACAGAGCCATTATAATTTCATCAGTAGACAAAAGACAAACAACCATTTGATGAGACAATGAAATATATCAAAGGACAACAGAATTACTTCAAAAGGAAATAATCCACTCAATGAAATCAAACAGATCATTACTTCCATAATTCTATGGAAGGTAGAAAATCCATAAACAAGATGTACCAAGTGGTTCATTTTCAGGAAGCCCAACATACAATTTATCAAATTATTTAACAGAGAGGCTGAGCCGTCTTATCAATCGACCAACCAACTCAGTTCTTCAAAAAGCCGAAGATATTAAAATATATGGAGACGAGGCAATAATCTTTAATATCACGGGCATGCAGGAGAAACTTCTTAAGCATGCCTCAAAGTGACGACGATTTACAAACGCCTACCAGTGTTGAAATACCAAAAATGATGAGTCTAATAAAGTTTGTTTATCCGCAGGATTTCATATCAATGAAGAGGTATGTGATCAGTTGATCTGAACTCCGATGGAGTCATCAGCCTCAGGGATCATCTCAGATGCAGTCATGCAGTGAACCGAAATCGTAATGCCTCAGCAACCTTGTGCACTTTTGTGCAGTAGGCAGTGACCCACATCTATGTGAAGGCTAGTGATACTATCTGACTGCCCAAACCTCGATAGATGAGGCGGGCCTCACCCACGACTCATCGACAGAAAGTCATATCCCCCAAAACCAATGAGGTACAGTTCCGCAGTCGTGAAACGGTCACCGATCACCTAGCCAAAATTATAGATGACATACATGGAAGATACCTGCATCACTCTTATTAAAAGTGATACTGAATCTACTCTAAAGCTAATCAGTAATGTTTTCAGAGGAAACGAACTCCTGAAAATAGAAGAAGATAACGGATAGCTGGCATTCTTAGATATCTTAGCAACAAAAAGTGATGAGGGGAACTTTGAGACTCAATTGTGCAAGAAAACAGCTCATGCGAACCAGATCCTTAATTAAAACAGCAATATTCCGATTTCGTACAAGAAGAACTGTGTAACCGGCCCATTTAGGCTAGCAGATACACACTCCATTACAAAAGAGTGTTCAATGAGAGCTAAGGAGAAACGTTTGTTCAAAATCTTCCAACTGAATGACTATCTAGAGAGTTTCAACAAGTGATGTCTTTTTAAATGGAAGTCAAAATCTACTACCAAGTTTAACAGTAGAAACGTTCCCCACATACATCGAGAATATCTTGGAGGTGACAACCAGATTACTACATCCAGTGGGAATCGGGGTGTCAAATAAACCAACAGAAACGCTACAGCATATCCTATGCAAAGCAAAAGACCTAGTCAACACAGAAGAAGTGGCCAATGTCATACAACAAAGTCACTTGCGATAAGCATGAACACCAGTACATGGGACAGTCAGGTACAACAGTATCAGTAAGAAAAGCTAACTGTCAGATGTCATGACATGAGGTCTGTCGTCTCAGTACACTGTGACAGCCACACCTTAGACTTGGACAATTTTGTAATATTCGAAGTCTGCTAAAGAATTTTTAGAGGCTGTCAATCAAGCAAGTTAGCATTAAATTGCCAAGTCGACTTAGATGCAATATATGGGCTTATTCGAAAAAAAACATTGATAGGAAACAATCAATTTGACTGCAGATGAAGAGGAGAACTGGGCAATCATGACAGAGAACATCCCTTCAGCTGGAGCAAGTCAATCAATCAGCGTGAAACACTTCCTCTTTAATATAAATGACTCAACTGTCTCAATCAGATAAAGACAACCTCCGTTGTTTCAGGTAAACAATAATTCCGATCAATCAGATTGCAGAGAATCCAATCTAATCATTCCAACAGAAAGTACAGGCCAATCATAATGAAGTGACCATAACGTACTACATGCAAACAAAATAAGTCACCCAATGATGTAGTTGCACACCTTGCTGAGAACGATGGCAGCAGAATATCAGCCTTTCAGTTTCAGCATACACCCATACACAGAAGACTGACAAATGAAGTTAGTTAGCCTCAGGCAAAGTGGCACGTTATCGATATTTCTGCCTGACCAAATACTTCACTTTCCATGTGAAGTTGGGATACATGGATGACGACGTTTAGCATGACATTGGAATGCTTTGCAACTCAAACCTCAGCTCAAAGAATATCTACAATCAAGGCTACAATTATTCCGCACAAAAAGTATATGCGAGATATACAGAAACTCACTGGATAACTTCTAAAATTTCTTCTTCTGAACTAACTTCCTTTTCAGTGGCACCATGTAAAATAATCTGTTCCCCATTATCGTGTATTGTGATCTTTTTCAGATGATGCTTTTTAGTTGGTTGTTCTGGTTCAGCCAGCAAATCGATAATATTCTCTTTGTATATCTTGTACGTTCATGAAAACAATAGGATAGATATAAAATCAGAATGCACACGTAGTTATTGGATAGAAGAATAATAAACACGATTGAATTGTTTACCACTAGCTTGATAATCATATTATACTGAATGATTTTAACCCCAAAAGATATACTACTGAATACAACTAGTAGCTTAGAAACCACACATGCCATCAGCCAGATCAGAGTGATTTAAACAATCGACGGCCGTTTTACTGGTTTAGGGTCGAGCTGATTAGCGGACAAATTTAGCTCACAGTGTCAAACTGTTCAAACTTCGATGGATCAGTTAACATTCAAAATAAAGTGATCGATTTGAGGGTGATTTTTTGAATTGAACGGACCGGTATGAGTTGGTTCTATCTACTTATGTTGTTTAGTAGTACATTCTGTTAGTTGCTAACACTTGATTCAGGAATCAACATCATGCAATCTTGACTGGGGATTTTTCATCAAAAGTCCTGTTAACGCCACTGCTGGGAAGCTATAAGAAGGTCAAATGTGATGGGTGCAGTTTGTAAATCTTTTACAAATTGATGTTTCTCACAGTGAGAAGTTTGCTGGGTACTAGACTGTAGTGTCAACAGAGTTTCTGTTCCAAATTATCCAACCGGGATCCAGCTAATCCTACAGTCACTGTTGTGACCTTGATTCACAGTGAGCGCATTAGTGACGTATTCTAACGAATTCAGACCATACAGTATCCTAATTGCTCCAAAAGAATAAATCTGACTAGACAACTTAGTTTAACTGATAGAATATAGAATGAATGATCAATTCATAAATTATTTTAGAAGTATACGATCCTTGAATGGTTGATATTTGGTTGACTGTGACTTGATTGGCTATATCTATAGGTAAGTAAAAGTGTCTATCAGCTACGGTAATTTACTTGGTTATGGCTAGCAGAGGAATCCAGATAGATCATTTCATCCCATTTGGGACTCCTCAGCTGCATGTACCTAAATCCCAGTGAGTGATGTTGTTCCCATGAGACTCGAACCCCGTACCCATAGCTTCAAATCAAGTAAACTATCATAATTAACATCCAAACAATATCGAGACATCCGTATAGGAGCCCATATACCAATGGAGGTCGAACTATCCGACCCAGTAAAACAATAAACATTATTGTCTACTAACTACTGATCTTTTCAGTAGTGTCTCTTTCTGGGATACTGAATGGTCTATTTCAACCAGTTACTGGTAATGAATCAATTTCTCGCTGACTAGTTCTAAGTACTGACCGACTTATCTTGTAATCTGAATATTACCCGGCAGTAGAATCAGTAGTTTAGCCGCCCTTAATTTGATGCTGGATGACTGGAATCAGTCATGTGTGAATAAAATTCATTATTTGTAAAAGTATTCTCCGATGATTTCACCTAGTATGCTTATTGAAAAATTTTTTGAGACTTGATCTCTTAATGGGTCTCATGGCTTAGTCATTAGAGGACTTGTAATCTAGAGGTCTTTGATTTAAAATCCTACCGCAAATCAGGCGACCATCATACCCTTAAGGTATAATGGAATTCTACTCCAATCAATCTACCAAACTGAGACGGTTTCGAGTAATCTTACCAAAAATACTTATGAATATTTCAGTTAGTTATGGATTGTGAAATTCCATGTTTATTTAAGCAGTGAAATTCGCTGAATATGATGATTAACAAGTCAGCAACCTTATTAGTTGAGAAGAGATCCTCACCTCAAAGAATTTCCCATGATAAGGTTACTTATTTGAACCTGAAATGTCTCTAGGTTAAACAATCCGCTTTAGAAAAAAAAGTCAAATTAGCAGGATTTTGCCTTTAACTTATATACTCCTATTTTTGTTGTCATCTAAACGACTTTCTATGAAATAATAAATTAGCAAGTATAGGCATTTTTTTAATTAAAAATTACAGGCTTTTACCAATTTACTATTTTTCAATATTTGAATTTCTCAACTTTTGTGTTAAAACATTCTGGCTATTTACTTTCACCATTGGCCTCCTCTAGTTTAGTAGTTTATATTTTAGTGCGTTACTTTGCTAGTCCTTTTGCTTTGAGTATTTTAGTCGAATTATTACGCTAACGCTGAATTTGTTTCCTTAGGATGAATCTTCAGGGTTGATTGTTTCTAGTTACGTGGAGATCGTATTCATCAGCGACAAATAAAGTACTAAGCGTCATCGATGACCTGTATTCTCTTATTCATTCTCTATTTTTATATATTCTTAAGAAATACAATTTTGATTTATATTTAGTGTCTGTACAAAGAGGTGATACAAATTCAGCAATAATTCAACAGGAACCAATAAATCCTTCGCCCTTTGCGTGGATATCTCACCAGTACCAACTTTAATTTCAAATTAATTCGGTTATTAAACGCTTGAATTACATTTCGTGTGATATGCGTGGTGATTTTCAATCAATGGGAGGGAATTCAAACACTTAAATTATTCTGTAAGAAAAAATATCCTCTATCCAAATAAATATTGCACTTTTAGAGCGTATGCTGCCGAGGAGTATTCTTGATGATATCATTTTACTCTGCAGATCTTGTCCTCCTTGCTTTATGCAAACATAAGTTATCATCATATTGATCTTGGAATCCAGGCCGCCCTTTTTGTCCTATTTGGAACTCGCCAGCTAGATGTACCCAAACCCTAGTGGGTGATGCCCTCACTGAGGCTCGAACCCAGTACCCTTCGCTTCAGTGGTCATTATCCGAAAAGGTTCAGTAAGTACTTAGTTAACGAGACATAATTACACAATTACATAAATTTAAATACAATATGTAGATAATAACCTTTGGTAGCCATTAGGAATTGACTAAGCCTATCCATTTATGGAGGTGATTGTTTCACACAAATGAGGAAGTGAATGTGATTAGATTGGTAAAATTTACAGTGCATAGATTAAATTATTCTCTTACTTGTACAACCGCTATGCTTAATCTATACGTCCAAGCAGGTTGACGTTGTTGACATTCTGTAAATAACTGACGAGCTGCTCTTGGAATAATCCCTGGTTTACCTTGTGCACCAAGTATTGTATAGGTTTTTCCTGTGCCATTTTGACCATACGTTACTATAGCTACAGTATATCTAAAATGAAGTGATAATACTTTTCACAAGAAGAAATTATGATTTAACTTTCTACCAGATTGTATTATTGTAATTACTAAAATGAATAGCTCAGTGACATGGTGCGCTGTTTGTTTGTGGATAGGAGCGTTTTATGTGTATTTTTGGTTTGTTTACTTTACTCTACAAGATGTACACTTAGTATAGGATGTATTTTCACTTGTGTAATCCCGGCGTAGTATATTTGAACAAATAACAAAGTAAACAAATATTTTGTGTAAGTTCATCTCAACTGATTGTAACCAACAGTATAAATAGCTCAGCTATAACGTCTATAAATCTGATATGTTATGGTGTCATCAATGCAATTATCTGTGACACGGCAGTATGAGCTTCTTTTGTTTTATAAAGCCCCGGTAGTTTAGTCACTTATCAGCAAGGCTTATCTGCAACCTCGACGGAAATGATGTCCGGCTTGAGGTTCGAACCCGTGTCACCCAGTGTTACAGTCAACCACTTTACAACATGAAGTTGGTTGTTCTGCCGTGACCAATCAAAATGTGCAACCCAGTCTCACCGAAGGTCAGTCGCGACCCGAATAGCTGAGTGATAACGTTGCTGACTGTAACACTGGATGATGTAGGTTCGAATCTCAAGTGGGACATCAGTTACGTCAAGGTTGCACATACGCCTCGCTGGTGAGTGGCAACAGGCACGAAACCTAGGTCCAAGGCTTCCCGCCTATTGCCTCCAACCAACTAACATCTACTAATGTGCACCGTGATGCCAAGCGTCCTAGCTTGGTGGCCGCATTGCAGGTATGGTGGAAAGGATTCGATCTGAACTCAGGACTAGACAACATGAAATTGGTTGTTCTCCCGTGGCCAGTCAATAAAGTTCTGTTTTCTTAATTTATGGAATTATATTACGAGACAATCGTGATTCACTTTGAATGTAAATGGGTTATCAAAGCAACTTAGAATCGGATAGAATTATGTCAGTTTGTCATCAAATGTTACAATTCGATGCTGTCATTTCAAGCAGAAATAATTAAGCAAATTGAGTAGTGGGTAGATAGTTTATAGACGAAATATGATTGTGTTTTGAGACTCTTGGTGATAGGGCTTAGAAATGATTACAGTGGCGGAGATGTACCCATACATTCTGTTCATACTAATTGTCATATCCAACTTCTTTATCTGATAAACTGGTTCTTCTTCTTCCTGTGACTTTTGATTGTTGTTTATCATTTCCTTCGGTAATTCTCCATCTTTCATCTTGCTGCCTTTTACCTTGATGTACCGATCTGAGGGTGTAGCAACTCGAAGCATTACACAGTCACATGTCACACCTCACATTAATATTAACTGACTGAATATATAAAACACCGGTGAAGTGGAACAGTAGATTTCTGATGCTTCTTCACTGAATAAAACCTATACAGGTTATCTCATGTTTCAGTAGTAAACTGAACAAATCAGATTATCTTGTTCATCTAAACAAAACAAATCGAAAAAGATGAGTGTAGCTGAATGTCATCGTCACCAACTATGTGTTAGTGAGTTGAAGGCGATGATGTGAGATCTTGCTAAATTTATATGCATATGCAAGTGGGTGAAAGTGAATGACTGGGAGGAAAACAATATGAATGTATGTGTACAACTTGTTGTTTTGCGGATGTTTTGAATAGTTGACTAAACAAATATAGTCGAACTCAGGTTCTGAGCAGTCTGTCAGTTACCTTTTGAAATCAGTTAGTCCTTTCGAACCACAAGCTGAATTACTTACTACCAATACTTATTAACCACTTGCTTCAAAATGGATCTTCTGAAATTTGAATCACATGCAGTGACATGTTGAGCAAATAAAGTCGGGAAAGAGAACGAATCCCCACCAATGACATTGGATGACGGGCATGCTATATCAATAATTGACAGGAGTTGGTCAACTATTAGCTTTCAACCCAGTAAGTGAATGATAAAACACTTCACATGAGACTTGACAATTGGAAGTAAAACACTTTGAATAATACTCCATCTTAGTTATTCTGTATTGATGTAGGATTGCTCTTCGAGCTGGTATTTTTTGGCGGATAGCTTTTACAAGCATTCTAGTTGTCATTACCATCGGTGCTAGTTGAAGATCGACCCTAAAAATCTATTCCACTCATCCGTTTGACTTGTTCTTCATCAGGTTGGTTTACTTCTTATTTAAGTTGCATGAAAATTGATGAACTGTAAGCTGGATGATTAACTTCCAAAAATCCTGATCGATTCTCGTTATTTGTTTCATTTTAACTGATTGACTTCCTTGGTATCATTAGATGACTGAGTTTCACAGTCTTCTGAATTTTGGGATTGTGTGAAATTGGCTATTTTTCACTATTTTGCTCTAAAGAGGTTCATCATGAATTTCCTTCTTTTATGTTAGCCAGTTCTAATATTTTGGAAATTGTCGTTGAATTTAGATATTTTGATTTTCCGCCTTTCTTGAATCCCTACAGCTATCTTGTAGTCGATGAAGAAATAAAGTTGCTTTTCAAATGTCAAAAAGTTTCTGACTAACATTTGGGTTATGGTGAACTCTGTTTATGATAATGCATATCAAGAGTAAATGTGACAAGGTTGGAAAACACAAAAAGTGATAATGAACGCTTGGTAAAGATTCTAGACGTAAGAAGACACAAAAATGAGGCCAAATATGAATCACAGCTAGACAGACAGGCAGACAAAATTATAGAACTTGAAGAAACTGAAGTACATCGATTTAATCAGCCACATATCACGGTAGCATTCAAACAACAAGTCGACAGAAAATGATGTCATAGTGGACAGAGGGGTATGGAAGGAGAAACAATACAAAGTCTAAGGCTAATGAAAGTATTGAAGCTGTAGAAGATGTCAAAGAGTGAATTCATCAATACCATTCTCACCGATTTCTAGCAAATAGAATTCGATCAGCATTCAGGACTAGACAACATCAGATTGGTTTCACTCCAATGATCAATCAGTGTAAGAAAAGTTATTGGAAGAAAACAAAAGTGATGATATCGCGATTTAGATGAAAGCAATATGCAGATGAATGTGTATCACTGGAATCTCTTATACCATCTATTTGGATTACCTTTAATACACCTACGAGGAAGCGTAACCTACCTGACAAAGCTCAGACTAATTATCAAAGACTTCATTAATTCATCCCATTTGACAGTCTGAACTCCTCGAGATATTTTCCAACTGACTAGATAATATTTTTGCAAACATTGCCAAGTGAGGTAGGTGGTAGCTTCAAATGTATGATGTAATCCATGACTCATATAGATTTAGTTGGCGCAACTTACTGACTCTTTAATTAAAACAGTGCGTTTCACCTTTGGACTGTTCAAGTGGTCACCTCATAACACATAAGTAACACTATGAAGCAGCTAGTGATTAAAGAATCTTTACTGAACACATTGACAGCAGTAAAGGGAATTCAAGTACACTGCAGTTCAATAAATTTAGTCATTAGTAGACATTTAGTTACCACCTTAGTCCAACACATAGCTTCAGACTTAACTACTGAACCTTTTGGTGTGAATATTAATGATGGATGGTGGCTAGCAATGGAATCCAGAACGCGCATTTCGTCGGTATTTTCGACTCGTCAGCTGCGTCCACCTGCTTCTCACTGAGCGATGTTGTTCCTACTAAGACGTGGGCTTAGAACCAATCACTTCAAACACCAGAACGTTATCAACTAGACCACCGAGTCATGATATCCACTTTTTGTGTATCGGGTACAGTTTATATGATGTTGCGTGTATTATCACGTCGTTGATTGTTGTATTCTTCCTGGGGTTTCATCATCGCCCAGCACCCTTAGATTGGCAAGATTACTGAGATAAGTGAGGTATTTACAAAATTTCAATTATTATCATGAAAAGTCTGCAAACTTTTGAAAAATTTTATACATTGACAAGGTTTATGTTAAATACTGAGTTACATACCTCACTGTTTCAAATGCATAAACATTCCAATCAGGGTTACCTGTGTATTTCAACTTACCCATCCACGCATGATGTAATCAATTCACTAACTTCTGTATAAATAGATTTTTGTGGTGTATTCGGTGGAAATAGACGATGAACTTTAAAGAAGTGTATGATAGGTCGTTTAGCGCATTCTTGTAAGGGATATATCATTGATATTGGTTTTAAAATTAAAGTATCATCTTCAACACTGGTGAATGCACTTTCTTCATTTGAACGAGATATGCATCTGCACAGACACAATGAAAACAGATATAAAAATTGGACAGATATAGAAATAAGAAGTTACGATGAAGTAGACAGAATATAGAGTTTTTGTGATCGAGTTCAGATTAAGTACCACCAAATGAGCTTTGAAGAATTGATGACTAGGCATTGGGAGACATTCAACTGGAAGATCTGCTACTGGACCCCAAACTAGTTGACACTCATCACAAACTGGTGATCTGGAGACAATCTGAGCCTGTGTAAATCAGTGCTGAAGTCATAGACTGTACCACTAAGCTACTGAGGTCACTGATAGTCACCCAACATGACTGAACTTTATTTACTAGTCTGTCACTACTGGGTAACTAGATTCATGGACATTGGTGAGTATTGAGCACAAAACGACAAGACAGGTAAATTGGTTACACACTGCAAATTGACTTATAATCATTGAGTACTGTTTTTCAGTGCTTCTTAATTGAAATAAGTAGTAAGAGATTCCCATTGTTTACTCAAATTTCTTTTCATTACTTCTTAATAATTCTATATACTTAAAAGGAAAATGCAGATATCTCTTTCCATAGACGATCAATGAAGCGAAAGCATTACATAACTGAATATGCTTTTCTTTTCTATTTCTAACCATGTCTAGCTATCCACCTAGTGAATTTTTAACTATGTTCCATTCACTTTTGGTCCAGTAATAATATTCTTGTCATCTTTCAGGCTGCCAATACTTCAACCACTCCTTCTCCAGTCATATTTTGGCATTCTGTATGAATGATTATCCATCTTCCATTTGAGCTGACATGTATGATTAAAAAGCCAGCCGAATTCCCCATTTTGAATTAGTCCTATTTGAAAGTCATGTATGTATTTCATAGTACCACATACTGGTAAAACAGAAAACCAACCTCAGAGGTGCAGATGTATTCACTCTTCAACCTCATCATAATTTTTGGATATACTGCTAGCCTTCATGTATTTGTTCGCTTTCCTCTCATGTCACTTTTGTCAACTTTCACGTCTCTCTCTTTTCCACTCACCTTCCATTTTTGTGTGTTGTTGTGAAGTGCAGCAGTTATTGAACTATCGTTCCTAGCAAAGCTGTACAATGACTTATCTTCATGGACATATATGCAAACAATTAACTACCCTGGAGGGAAACCAAGTTCATGTTGTCTAGTCGTATGTACTGATCGAATTCTATTGATCATTTTACAATGTGGCCATCATGCTGGGAGACTGAGCATCGCGATGCACTTTGATAGATGTTAGTTGGATGGAGGAAATCGGCAGTATGATAACATGAACTAGGTTACCCTCCAGTGACCAATCAATGTATCTGATCCAGTTCTACAGGAGGCCAGTCACAGCCGGAATAACTCAGTGGTAACGTCACTAACTACAATACTGAGTGACGCGGGTTCGAACCCAAGGCGGGACACCAGTCCTATGGAGGTTCTAGACACGCCTTGCTGACGAGTGGCAATAAACACGAGACCTAGGTCTTGGACTTCGTGCCGATTGCCTCCATCCAACTGATACCAATTACTTACTCTTGATTTTGTACGACATTTAGTTTTCGAAAAGCCATTTGCAGTAGTTGACCAATTACAACCAGTGTTTTATTTGTCTTAAGGCCTCAGAAATTAGGTCAATCTCGACAGCCCATTTTTTAACTTTTAAAAAGGCACGAAAAATAACAAAAGGTGATATAGCGAAGACAATTTTCGTTCCTATGAATTATTTCCTGAAGATTTACATTCGTTCCATAGTTACACCGGGAAAATATGTCTATCAATCGCTAATAGTTCTGGTTAACTGTCCTACACCACAAACTTCTTTCACAAAGTTATTTATGGAGTTGAACCGAATATTTTGAGGGTAGTGCCAAATCGACATGTGAAGATCTGGCAGTTAATTAATTCAAGCCTGTTCTCTGTATTCCGAAGACGCAGGTTCATTTTGTTATTTTACCGTGGTCATCATCTTCTGATGACTTCTCTGATGTTATCATTATTGATTCGCTCTCTTCTCCTTGCTCCATAATTGTCAAATTCAGTCTCCCTACTACTATTCAACTTCTTCTTACCTCTTCTACTTCTGTCTAGGCTATTATGCAGTCGCACTATGATTCTATAAGCAATCGTTCAAATGGCCTTATGCTGATCTATTTTGCCTAGATGAACCTCTTTTCTCATTCCAAGTATAAACACGAATGTATATAAACTGTATTCAATTATATCTAAGCTCATGGCATCTTATTATTTTAAACTTACCGGATAATGACACGAATATTCCCTTTTAATTCAATCAATTCATTAAGAATAATCCGTGTTTTTATTTCACGAGCAGCATCTTTATGCTGTTTCACTGTGAGTGCATCAATTTTGGCTTGTTTCCTTTCTAGTTCTGCCTTTAAATTGGCTATTATTCCATCTGCATTATGTTTATTCAATGTATTCTCTTTAATGTCAGCTTCAACACGTCCAATATGTCGGATAATTTGATTGTCTCTTTCTTGTATTGTCATTAGCATTTGACGTGTTTCTGAAAGTTCTGCTTCTAATTGTTTGTTCTCTATCAGTATCTTTAAAAATGTGAACAATAAATGACTACTAATTTGAGATAAAGCGTTTATTATCCGAAAGTAGTCATTAGAATGAGCATCCTATGTGTGTTCGGCTCGTTTGAACTCTCCAGCACTTGATACCTGTAAACCTAAAAAGAAGCCTAAAATCTGATGGAGATTATATTGTGCATGTGGGAGTTTGGACCGTTAAGCGGTATTGTCATGTTCTTTGCTGAAATTCACTAAGTGACTGACTGACTGATTATGTGGGTTCATCAGCTGGACATATATGTTACTATTCGATCATGTCTTAATTTAAAAAAATTGTGGTTCAGAGCACATGACCCACTCTAACAACAAGGTACTGGTGGGAGAACTTGGTTCCATATTGTTGGGTTTACTTCTGTACTAAGAATCAGTAATTCATATGTTGTCTGTTATATTATAATGGTGTTCCTAATGGTTAAGCATGCATGATATATACTATTTATACTTCGGTTAATGCATGTTTGAGTATTATCACCTGACTCGTTTGCTTCTTGACTCAGTATCTATGTGTAACATTGCCAGTCCATGAAGTCTCTATCTGACTTCCAGGTTGGCATCAGCTTGGCGACAAAAATAGACGGATGGAGATTCTAAACAGTACAGCTCAGATTCGATCGCGCTGATACAGAGCATCCACATTTTATCCCCTTCTCAACCGTTATATCACATCTCATTATTTGCCTTTATCCTTTTTCTCTTTGCTTTCTGGCTTGCTACAACTCTTATGATATTTTTTTTCCACTTTTCTGTGATTGTTTTTGTTAACTTATGCCTTGATATGAGACGCGGTAAACTGAACTGTTACGCAGTACTATCACGTTCTGTCCTGACATTAATTAACTAGTGACGACATGTAGTCCCCAGTTATTATATTGAGCAGTCAGAATATCAAAGTGCTATGAAGGGATAGTCAGTCGGAATATGCCGGTGCATATTGTGTAATTTCATCTGTTGTCCTATTCACAACTTCTGCATAGGAAAAAATAACTCACCTAACCTTTTCACATCCCTTGATAGGTGTTCGCTGAATCCTAATAGTCTAATACTTTTGTCCGTACTCTGATAAACCTATGAGGCACAATTTCAATCCATACAGAACTGTCTCAGACCCTCTGAAATACAAATTCACTTCCAACTTACTGGTTTACAATTTCTTTCGATACTATTCACTGTGAAAATACTAAGCAGACAAGTCACTAACCGAAACAAATTGCTTTCTTGGTAGACGAACTATCTTCTATCAACGATAGTTTTTCCTCACCCAGGTGAATAGACACCCTTGGTGGTCTCATGAAATACAAATGCAGTAGGCAGATAAATGGTCAACCTTTGCTAATATGTAGGAGATGTTCTCAGTTAGTTTTGATGCGAATTAGATGTATATAATTCTAGGTTCAAAGAAAGGAGTTCGCTCTAAGTTATCTCTATATCACTACGCACTACTCTGCGTGCTTTACCAAGTTATTGAAAATAAACCCATCATCTTTGTCTGTTGACGTCATCATTGCATCAAAAAACATTTATCAAACAAGAGTGAATTTAAGGGCACCCTAGCAACTGCTGAATAGACCAATCATGCTTCGGTATTTTGCCTGTGAGAGTACATTTCCGTAAAATAAAGGAATGTGAGTGCTTGTTACATTAGTTGCTAAGTCGGCCTTTAAATTCACACTCAAGCACGACTGACTTTAAAAGCCACCCTCCTAGCCGAAGTAGAGAAACCTAATTGGTTGTTTTCGATCGTTGCTTGGGTGGCCTTTAAAGTCGCCCTCAAAACAGGAGCATAATGTATACATAATTTTTAAAAGGTGACAAAAATTACGGTTGGTTTGTTGGTATATAAACGGAATCTCAACATTGCGATAGTGTATGTGGTCAGTTTTATTCCCTTATTCGATATATCGCATAATGAAACAGTATCATATAGTAGATAACACCTCATGCATATTTTACTGATCATAGTCAAACCAGGTTAATTACACAAGTTTCTAGTTTGGTTTTTATAATTCCAATGCTTTTTCATTCCTAGAGTGAGCTGGTCACGAGATTTTTCACATTATGAGGGATTGGTGTTGAATCATGACTATCACATAACTTAAATGTCAGTTGGATAAACAGCTTTAATTAGTAATGCCTCTTTCGTCCTCCGGCCAAATCAGTTTACATAAATGACAATCTCTCCCAGTATACTTCATGATCCTGTGTAACAGAATGGATAGACAACTAGGATGCAAAATGTCGTTGCTGTTCTCTTCTCTTATTTTTTCATTCACATCCTAATTGATTAGGCATACGGCAAGTGAAAAAATGTGCTGAACAAAACACGCACAAAATAAATAATTCAGAGCAAAGCATATATGCGTGTATTTTATCTTTTAACTATTAAATACCTGAAAAACATGAAAAGGAAAATGACCTACTCTTTCTTTATCCATAACTGTAAAACAGTCATATCATAATGTTGCCTTAGTCTAGACTGTTCGTTTGATAAGTCAACATACTGTTTTCTCAGTTTACTGTACTGTTCACCTAGACGTTTGTTGATAGCTGCTAAACGTTGTATTTCTAAATCTCTCCTTGATAACTGAACAGTAGATTGTTTTAATGCATTTAATAAATATTCTGCATGTATTTTTATAATTAAATTTGATGACACTGGAATATCTTCATCATTGATATCATATAACTGATTTTTTCTTCGTAGGAAACTTAAGTCAGTAGCTATAGGCCATGGTTCCAACTGTCCCATCGCTTCATATTCATTCTCTTTACTTTCGATGACTTTATCACTTAAGGACACTGAATTCAAGTCTTCTTGCTGATCACTGAATTCATTTGAAAACTGTTCAGCTCTGTGTTTCGATTTAAGTTTCATTGAATTTTTGATTTGTTTAGGTGAAGGCTTGATTTTTCGAGGTGAAATGCTTTCATTTGATGATTTTGCAAGTGGATGCTGAAACGCTTGCGTTGTGGTAGGACTTATTCTCATTCGATTTGACAGTACTGATACTGGTGATGAGGATGATACAGATCTCGGACTTGTATGTATACTAGGAGAAGAATATTCTTCACAACTGTATTTCAAATCACTGTCCTCAGAGGGGATTTCCTCTTCACAACCTACTGACTTCGGTTTGATATCATTTTCATTACTGTTATGGTTTGATTCATATGTTGGTTGGGGTTCCTTATCGGTATTTATTACTTTTATATCTTTCGCCAATTTTCTGAATATTTTACTAATTCGTCTACTAATTAGTAGTCTGTTGGATGCCGGTGAACTTTGTGATACTAGTTCTCCTTTACCCATTGATGTGTTGTTCTGGTTAGTCTTACATTAGTTAGCTCCTTTGTCACAGAGTTTAGAATTCTTTTTCTGTCTGTACTTATCATCAAAATATTACGGGCTCACTGGAATAACTTTTCCTATTCATCATATGAGATGAATGGATCAATGAAGGTCACATTTATAGTGACCTTCAGCCTTACCATCGGTTGACTAAATTTGAATACCACTCACGTGATATTCCAGAGTATACGATTTAATCTACAACTACATTTACTATTCAACGCTGAAAAAAAGCAACATCTAAACGAAAATATTGTTTTCAATAAATTCTTATCAGGTTCTACAATGATAGAATGCATTTGTGCAGCATCAAAATCAAACCAAGTTAGGGGCAGACACATTTTCAAAATGGAATGATATTTACGGACTGTAAGGAAATGAATTTTTTCCTTTTAAAACTTCCAGTATTGGGATGACATATATACAGATGAGTGATATGATAGTGAATGAAAAGATAGCGAATAAAAAAAGACAGGAGTGGTCTTTATTTTAACAAACGCCAAGGAACCAATAACGCTTGAACATATTTTTTCTGAATGCACAACTCAGGTTTGATTCTCATTGTGACAGCTTACGCTATATTGAGTAGGCATTGACAATCTACACAAGTTATTGGTTTTGGAATATGATGAATTACATTAAAAGCTTTATTAGCATTTATGTGATGTTCTGATGTTCACTATATGTACTAGGACTGAACTTTTCATCACCTTCACTTCGCATTTTACAAACCAAGCTGATAAATGCTCTTATATCAGAAGACACACCTGTCCAAGGTGTTCTACAGGAATAATTAAACTGATATATGCAAGATGAATAACTAAGATTAGGTAGACCATCCTTTAGTCTCGGACTGAGCATTGGCCCACTACTGAATGGTATGCAGAGCCAACCTGCACAAAACGTCCTATTAAATGTTCTAGATAAGAGCTGTGATAGGATGTCACTTGCAGCGTCTACCAAGAATTGGGAAAGCAGAAACAAAAGCTTCTCGATTGTTATCAATTCTCGTTTAGGACCAATTTCAAGCTGGATAATGGTGGATTGTTGCAGTGCTCTTTTTCTCACTAAGTATGCAATGGAGTGAAAAACACTCGGATTTCAGGTTATGAAGTTAGTCCGAGAAATCCATGAAGTTCAGTCAGATTACTTTGTACCAACTGTTTAAAGAATGGATGCTCAAGATCTGTAATTGAAACTGTGGATGCAGATTAAGAATCGATCTTATGCCTTGATGGTTAGTGCTAAGATAACACTTATCTAACTTCAACGCTCACCGTGACCTGATGGAGTTATGAATTCAGCACTCTCATTGTTCACTTAACTGATGTATATACACAGGGGTAAGACTTATTGAAAGATGAATTTTATCCTAAGTACTTGAATCAACTTCAACTCATAGAATTATCCTTCCCTGAATTTTCTTACTTTTGAGGACGAAGTTAATAAAAGGTGAACTGACAATCCACAGCCTAATTACTAAATATAAAGTAGCAAAATTGCCGCATATTTTGCTGTACAACTGCGAAAAACTGATGACTTTAAAGTGTTTTCCAGGTGTCATAGAATCATCGAGCGAGCAACGGTTTGATTTGATTCAGACTATTAGGAAACTTAAGTTGATCTTTAAAGTTTTGAAACTTATACAGTTGCTAGATAACACTGGTAATAATATCCAACTATAGAGTATGTAAGAAAATAAAGGTAAGGAAGCTGGTACAAATACAACTTTTAGTTACAGGTGCTTTTTACATTTGTTGGGAATTTTCGGAGGTATGGAATACAGCAGGCGTTGGATATTACCGGAATCAGATGAAGAGGTCTTTTATCACTGACTAGTCAGTCAGTGGTTCTTTCCTACGCATACCAGTCAAAAGTGAGCATTGTGCAGTTTTTTTAATTTAATTTCATTTTTATTCTGTTTTTTTATTTTATTTTATTTTCCTGATGCTGAGTGCAGAATCTGACAGCTGGATAGCACCTAGTTGTGTTACTTTCATCATGGACTGAAAATCTTGCAGCCACTGACTTTGGTCCAAAATGCTTGGTTTTTTCAAGAATATTTCTAATAAATACAGATTGTTCTGCTGTTTCGACTAGAGGTGGAGGTATTTGATAACTTCAGGTGACTGCGTCTTTGACAAGGTTTTAAGTCTTGTGAAAGTGTAACACTTTTACATGGTGTGGATCTAATAGTAAGCTTTTTGGATGATTTAAACTGTCTGGGGCAGTTAGAGCTATGAAACTTAAACAGCAGAGGACAAGGTTATTCCACTAACTTCTTGCGAATGCGCGCGACTTTGCATTCTACAGAGGACATGTTACAAGCTTGCAGACACAAGGCTTTAGGTCATTTGATAGGTTCGTGGTCGGGTATATTGTATACTAGTGAATTAAATGAGGACAATTATTTTATTAACCTCAGTAGCTGTGAAATGTAGTATACTCTATGGTTTCAGTAGACCGTCAGAATCGGTTTTTGCATTGGGCAGGCGAAGGTGCAGCAGTGACTTCTGCGAGAATATCAGATCTTCCTATTCTCATGCGAGGTATTATAAAGCTCCGATATCAGGTGGCGACATTAGTTTCAACGACTCCTTCAGGGCTTGATGTCAAACCAACCACCGGACGTGCCGTTTAAGTTAACAGACTGGGACTAGCTTACGTATACGCACAGTACATGTACGTTTGTTCGACTGAACCATGGATCGGGGGAAGTAACTACTCGTTAGAATGATTCGTTAGTACCAAAGAACAAATAATGAAACCAGCAGTGACGAAAGACCTAGTAACGACTGATGAAACAAATGTGATAATTACAATAATTCTTCACAGTTTAGGTGAACTGTATTGAGAAATCGTTGCGTCCCGAAGTAAGCAGCTCTAGTTTGTGACCAAATGAAAATGAAACAGAAGAAAACTCGCCTCTAAGTTTTTACTCGTGATAGTCCAGGTAAATTTTTGACAGTAATTTCCTTCATGCTGCAGTGTACAAATAAAAGAGTGCACTTTAGAGTTGATATTCACTAACGCTCCAGAAAAGGCATCTTAACACAGGTACGTTAAGATTCTGGGGAAAAACACGATGTTCGTTCCGAAATAAACTTCACACAGCAGTTTAATGTGGTTAATACCAACGAACACTGAACGCTCTTTCAGTTAGCTAACGAGTGTACCTCCGGTGCTATTCACTTTTCAAAGGTATGTTAGCCAAGGTAAGTGACTCATGAAGAATCTGTTCTCATAAGCCTACGGAGTAGATAAAGTTTCTGCTGTTTTATACTCATGATTGTGCCTTGTTTGCCAACAGACTTTATGCGTCTACCTATCATGATTAGTATACGTCACTGGATGCAAAGAATGCCCACAAGCAAGAATGAATTTGTTGGTTAAGTATGAGGCATGTCCTTATTCTGCCAAACCCCAGTCCTTCCTGCGCTTCCATCATAGTGGAAGAAACGTTACTTCTGTGTTCTGTCGGTGATGTTCGGCAATTTATTTGCTTGACCTTATTTATCAGACAGCGAGTCGCTATTCGACCGAGAACAATCCCCCGGTTTTGACGGTGTTAACAAAAACCAAGACACTACAACGGGCAACTGCGATTGTCCATCACCACGAAGTACTGAAGGTCTGACGAAGCCACAGAAAACACTCTTAGATGTTGCCCCTAACGTCATATTACGTGGTAACCTGACGAGAGCTCAGTCATGAATTTTACTGGTTGAAATGCATAGCATACATCAAAACTTATGAATGGATTCCAGGAAATTCATGGGAACTCCCGTCCAGGCAAACATAATGGCCATCGGAGGTGTATACGTACATCTGGCTCTGCAACTCCGACCCCATAAGATCCGTTGTAGTTGAATGAATACGTGGTTTCTGCCATCGGTGTAGATGAGTACCAATGAAGTGCAGTTGTTCATCAACTTGAACCCTCAAATGCGGCCAATATCATGCACAGTGATTGGTCCACAGGTAAGTCAGATATTTTACTCGGCTTTTGCTGTGGTTCGTGTTGGGCTATTTATATGTATATACCTGCAGAATACAATCCATGGGCTGTGACATGCTTCAGTGGGGTATTCATCCATTCAATAGCAACTTAGTTTTCTCCGCGGCACTTAAAGGCATTATGTGTGGTAGACCAAAAAGGTGATTCGTTCAGCAAATTTCCGGTCACAACCGTAGACAGGGTTGTGGTAAGTGTGCTTCAAACTGCCTCCGTGAGGCGCACAGAATAGCGTTTCCTACGCATGTCAGTCACCTTGAAAATGGCATCGATTTTCGTCGACTTATGAGTTGTCCGCACCACCGAGGTAAATTGCCCTTCGAAAAGCTTACCACAGGCATGGATAAACCTCTCCTTTGGATCCTATGTACTCGCCATACCTTGAACGTTGTTCGCAGATTAGTTGGTTTGTGGAAAAAGACGGCATGCAGAAGTGGAAAGCTACTGCGTGCAGATCATTTCTCATATTTACACCCTGTTTCATCATAATTGTCACCCTGTGGTCTGTCACCCCTCCCCGTTTATTGCCATGGAGAGCCACCGTCTCAGCTGCGTCTCAGTAAGAGTGTACGTGAGCTCATTAGTATATTCTATTGCAGAACAGCATGAGTAAGGACGCGAACAGACCACTGTGATGTGGACAAACTGTCAGGCACGTTTTCTGATGCTTCGCTTGATCTCGTGATAAAGCTGATAACATCGACCTGAAGATAGCCCATCTAGAGAGGATGAACAAGGTATTGGGTTTTAGGATTTGTCCTGGTGCGAACTTGACAGACGCAAAGACCAATCACTAATTATTCGAACTTGTTATATACCCACGAATACGAGACCAAGGAAGAACACGATAGCGTAGTCGGATGGAATAGTATATTTGGATGGTTATGCCAAAATACCGATGCGTTCCAACTAACTGGCTAGAGAGTCGAATACGAGCAATGCAACGTAACACGACAGCGTGCCAAATGGCGAGGATGCTTGACCGGATGCCTTCAGCTTAGCGAGTCCAGTTAAACTATCAAGGTCAGCATCAATGTCGAAGTCGTCAAACCCTAGGCTATTGATTTTGGGGAAGTGTATGACGCTACAGATCACTCCCCCCCTAGTGGGTTCGTGAGGACCCTAAGACGATACCAGCCGGAAGTAAAAACCCAGTGGTTTCTCCACTGGTAAAACTCTCCGATGGGCTCACTGCGTGAGGTGGCCCCTGGTTGTCTGAACCTTATTCTAGGGTGTCGTGGCGATTAAATAAATAAAATACAATAAATGAAATTGTACGTCGGTCGCGGTCATCTGTTCCTTTCGACGTTCCGTCCAGTGCTCGTTGCACCTGGAATATAAATAAAAGTCTTTAATACCACGAAAACGTTGCGTAAAAATGGGAATTATTTATATATAAACGTGTCGAAAAAGAAAAATTTACGCTTATCTTCGCCGTTTTTTTAGTTTTTATTACATGGTAAATAAAAATTGATATAAAAAGGCAAAGTGTACGAGGGTTTGTGCCGGTAAATAAGAAAAATAGTGCCTCGAAAAAAATGGTTGGCACACACATAGCTAAGTTGAATATGACTTCAGGTACTCTGGGAACCTGACGGTTCGACCTGATCGTGTTTTTTGTTGCGCCGCTGGTTGTTGCAGCTGTGCATTACCAGGCACATCGTCGAGAATTTCGATAATTGAGTCATCCGTCGGTCGGATGTAGCGAGCTGAAACGTCACTTACAATGGGGTTGCCTTCGAAATAAGCTGGTTTCAAACGGTCGATACTGACAGTATCTTCGCGTCCGCCTCGCTCAATTACATAGAATTTCTCATGTCGCTTAATCACTTTGAACGGCCCGTCGTAGGGTGGTTCAAGTGGTCGACGAACAGCGTCGTGGCGAACAAACACGTGTGATGTCTTCTGTAAACTGGGGTGGACGAAAACATCAGTCGTTTGCGGTCTAATCGGAGAAGGCCTAACTGAACGCATTGCGTTTGTAAGCCTAGTCACGTAAGATGCCCTGTCGGAAACATGTTTGAAAGTTGAAGGGGAAACAAACTCACCTGGTAGGCGAAGAGTGGTCCCATAGACGAGTTCTGCAGGAGTGCATCCAGCATCAACTTTCAACGCGTTACGAATACCTAGTAGGACTAGAGGCAGAGCCTCGGTCCACTGAGGTATGTTTGTAGCTGAAAGGGAAGCTTTCAGCTGTCGATGGAAACGCTCTACCATGCCATTTGCTTGTGGATGGTAGGCTGTCGTTCGGAACCGAGTGCAACCTAAAAGTGCCGTTAGAGCGTGAAATAGTCCGCACTCAAATTGGCGCCCACGGTCGGTTGTGACGTAGGATGGACATCCGAAGTTCGCGATCCATCTTTCGACGAAAACACGAGCAACTGTTTCGGCAGTAATATCTTTAATGGGTACTGCTTCCGGCCATCGTGTGAAACGATCAACACAGGTGAAAAGGTAGGTACATCCATTAGATTCTGGTAGGGGTCCTACAATATCTATATGGACGTGGTCGAAACGCATGTCTGGGGCTAGAAATGAGCCTAAAGGGCTTTTCGTGTGTCGCGTGACTTTACACTTTTGACAAGCTAAGCACGACTGGGCCCACTCCTTAACGTCTTTGTTCATCCCAGGCCAGCAGAAACGTTGTGCGATAAGCCTAATGGTGGCTCGTACACCTGGATGAGAGAGTTTGTGCAACGTATTGAAGACGTTGCGTCGACAACTCTTCGGAACTATTGGGCGTGGTTGACTAGCAGAGACATCGCACAAAATTGCATCCTTGTCTGATCCAACAGGACAAAGTCGCAGTTTGAGAGTTGTGGACGACAACTCATGATGCAGCTCAAGGTCTTCCTTTTGACGCCGAGCTAGTTCAACGAGATCAATACCCTCGATATAGTTTATCGAAGCTATTCGAGATAGTGCGTCGGCTGCGGAGTTGTTTGCTCCAGAAATGTGGCGGATGTCTGACGTGAACTGGGAAATGTAATCCAGCTGTCGCGACTCACGAGGGGAGTATTTGTCAGACGCCGAGCTGAGGGAAAACGTTAACGGTTTGTGGTCTGTGAAAATAATGAAATCACGACCTTCCACAGAATGTCGAAAATGGCGTACAGAACAGTACATGGCTAGGAGTTCCCTACCAAATGTACTGTATCTTGTTTCCGCGTCTTGCAGCCGCCTCGAGAAAAAGGCTAACGGTTGCCACTGGTTGTCAGTCAACTGTTGCAAAACTGCTCCAATTGCTGAATCAGATGCATCAACAGCAATACTCAGAGGAGCATTGGGGTCATGATGCATAAGCATGGTTGCGTTCGAAATGGCTTCCTTGACTTTGGAGAAAGCAAGTCTAGCCGCGTTGTCCAGAGACACGAACTTCGCAGTTCCTCGAAGTAGATCTGTGAGTGGTCTCATGACAGAGGCACAGTTAGGGATAAACCTTCGGTAATAACTTACCAGGCCATTGAAAGTGCGGAGATGTTTCACAGTGGTCGGCTCTGGATAGTTTGTGATAGCCGCCACTTTATCTCTCAATGGGCGTATACCTTTGTTGTCAATGGTATGCCCAAGGAAGCTGAGTGATTCAACTCCTATTTCACACTTCTGTAAGTTAACTGTGATGCCATGTTTTTTGAGTCTTTCGAATGCGAGGTCCAAATGTTTAAGGTGTGTTTCCTTATCTGGACTCGCAATTAGACAGTCATCTATGTAGACATGAACAAAATTCAGACCACGGAAGACGTCGTCCATAAAGCGTTGGAATGTTTGTGCTGCATTCCGAAGACCAAAAGGCATGCGCAGGAATTCAAACAGGCCAAAAGGAGTAATAATGGCTGTTTTCGCGATATCTTCTGCTGCCATAGGTATCTGGTTGTACGCTTTGACTAAGTCGATTTTCGAGAAAATGTTCATGCCGCATAAGGTTGCGGTCAAGTCGTAAACGTGGGGTATAGGGTAGCAGTCCGGAGTTGTTTTGGCGTTAAGCCTTCGGTAATCACCGGTCGGACGCCAGTCGTTGCTATCCTTTTTGGGCACCATGTGCAATGGCGATGCCCAAGGACTGTTTGACGGTCTGATAATGCCCAGTTCCAGCATATGGTCGAATTCATTTTTCGCCGTTTGCAGCTTATCGGGGGCTAAACGGCGAGCTTTGGATGCCACAGGTGGACCTGTGGTTGTGACGTGATGCATAACATTGCTGGTTATGCACGGAAGAGTGTGTTTCGGTTGTTGTAACTCTGGATATTTCTCCAGAACTGCCTGGTAGGACGCGTCGTCTGATTGTTTAGTCCTAACGATGGCTAAACTCGGACCTACATAGGTGGTGCCGCCAATAGATAACTTTGTGTTGTTATCTATCAGTCGTCGACGGCGAGCATCTACGAGTAGATCGTAATGGTTCAGCAAATCTATGCCAATGATGGGCATAGAGACGTCTGCCAGGAGGAAAATCCAGTGAATAGGTTTGCGTAAACCTAAGTTGAGGTAGGCATACCGTCTCCCGAATGTCGCGATTGCCTTGCCGTTGGCTGCTTGAAGATTGAAGGATGGGTCGAGATGACGCTCCTTTGTCGTTGCTGGAAGAACGCTAACTTCTGCGCCGGTGTCGACGAGGTAGCGGACTTTCGTTTTAATGTCGGTGACGTAGAGCAAACGGCTTTTTCCGCCGGCTACGGTTGCCGTGAGCACGTGCCGGCGTGACCGTTTCCCGAGTTCGGTCCTTCTTAAAACGGCATGGTTTACGACATTTTCTGGCTTCATCCCCGTAAGTGTTATGAAACCAGCACCATTCAGGGTTTTCCACCCTGTTGGGTTTCGTTTTAGGGCTACCACGCGACTTGCTGCGATGCGCCAAGGTGCGTTTCTGTGAAGTGCTACGTGATCTAGGACTTCGAGATCGTAGCAACCGTTTCACAGAGTTGCACAACTTGGTCACCTCCGAATCCTGGCGCTCTGTTTTGTCACAGATAGAATATACGTTGGAGACGGGTCTGCTGGATATCTCCAGTATTTTATCTGCTGAAGCTGCCAGGTCGTCGAGTGGGACTGACTGGAGTGTCACCAACACGGTTTGCACCGGTTGTGGTAGTTTCGAGAGAAATAGTTCTCGGAAGAAACCATCGTCAAATGTTCGTGCACCGATTACTTCTCGCATGCGTGCGAGGACTTCAGTAGCTGAGTGGCTGCCTAGCTCGATGTTACGAAGCAATTCGTCTAGACGTTGGCGATCTGTGAGATCGCTTTTCTTCAAGAGTGCAGCCTTTAGAAGTGCATAAGGGTCACTTACTTCAGGATTAAACATGTTTGCTGTAACAAACCTGTTTAATTCTCGCGGTAGTGAACGTATGACAGCAAGAAATCGAGATGAGGATCTGAGACACCCTGTTCTCGAAAATCGGCCTCGGCATACAGAAACCATGTTTCTGCATTGTCTGGCCAATATGGCACGAGTTGGATCGTGTTCGAGGTCGGCTTAATACGAATAAGCTTGGGAGTGTGGTCGGACATGAGAAAGTGTAGTAAATGGATATATAAATGTTATCGAAATGAAAACAATAAACAAATATAAAATGGAACAGGCTCACCAATTCAATACTTGCTATTGTTCGGGATATGTGATCACGTCGGGATATTTGATCACGTCGGGCTCACCAATTTAGGATTTGTCCTGGTGCGAACTTGACAGACGCAAAGACCAATCACTAATTATTCGAACTTGTTATATACCCACGAATACGAGACCAAGGAAGAACACGATAGCGTAGTCGGATGGAATAGTATATTTGGATGGTTATGCCAAAATACCGATGCGTTCCAACTAACTGGCTAGAGAGTCGAATACGAGCAATGCAACGTAACACGACAGCGTGCCAAATGGCGAGGATGCTTGACCGGATGCCTTCAGCTTAGCGAGTCCAGTTAAACTATCAAGGTCAGCATCAATGTCGAAGTCGTCAAACCCTAGGCTATTGATTTTGGGGAAGTGTATGACGCTACAGGGTGTTTCTACTGAGGAAAAATGATGCAACAAGAGACTGGGTTCGCGAGTTGACAAATTCCGGATGTGGTATCTGAGCAACGACGGAAAGAAGCAGGTAATGCAGTTGAAGCTTCAAGACCCAACTTTCAACGACGAGGCCTGTGAAGGCATTTCCATCCTAGTCAGTTCCGATATTGGGGTGTCATTTAGAAGGATCACGGGTGCCACTCTGTTTCTTGAATACAGAATGAGTCGACCGCACTGAAGAAGCCCATCAGAAAACGTTTGCTGTGCAAGCCTATCATTAGTTAGTACATACACCACATACATTGTTCGCCTCAGGAGAGATTTTCGATTACCATAAGCTCTGTAGTCACAGCTCATCTACAACAACTGACAAGACTGCTTGGAAATGCGACACTGGTCTCACAACAGGACAGGAGAGTAAGGAAACCGCGTTTGGCATGACCGCTCTGTTCTGTCACCCTCATTTTAGAGAATGCTGCCCCTACTGACGTCGGTAGAAGTTATGAGCCCACCAGTCAAGGTTGTGCAGGTCGGCACAGAATAGGAGTAGGTGAGGTGGAGATGGCTTGCAGATGTGATGACGCGGAACAGCTTCTCAAAGACTGAAATGTTTGACTTGAATGTAATCGCCTTAATTAAATACACCCCACGTGATCAATTCGACAGACTTCTGATCTTCTTTCTGTTGATGACATTACCTTCCACCTGACTGTTTAGCGTGGGGATGTATGTATGGCACCCCGAACAAACTGAATAAGCGATGAGGTATTTCGCCAAAAACTTTGGGCTGATTTAAGGGGAGTGGAAATTCTGCGAATAAATTCAAGGTAGCTTAGGGAGCTGTGAATTTTTCAGTCGAAATACTGAGGAACTACAGAACAACCTGCAACGAATTTCGTGCATACCTAGGGAAATGTAGAGCGGTCTGCAAAATACTTCCGTAACCGCGGAAAGTGTTGCCTCGCCCAAAGTAATTTAGCATTCATCCTTAAGTTGCTGAAGTTAGCCTCAAGTTTATTGGTGGACTACTAGGTCAACTTGCAGTCGCCTCTTGTTATCGTTCCCCATTTAGCCAGTGTTGCACACCGCGCCATTTAGCGCCTGATTATTGCGTTTTTGAAATCGGGAGTTGGACCCGCATTTTATACAACGGGTGCTGCAATGGCGTATGCTGTTTCAGCTCGACACAGTGCTTGAGTCCAAACCTTCTGGAGAAAAATTTTGTGAACAGTTCCATGGAAAGAGCAAAGTTGGACTATACTCAGGCACAGGATTGACGTCACAGCGCATTTTACTTCACGCTAATTCGAATTATTCCACGTGATATGGATAGTAGCACGATGAACCATACTCTCAAAAATAATAAAGTGGTTCAAGTGGTCGTTGACGAAATAGAAGCAGCTTTCGCTTAACTCTCTTCTGCGTCTACAATCCGTGGGTCACTGCTTCTTGTGGCCATTAGCCTATGTACAAGTGAAGAAAGAAGAAAAGGTGGCGATTAAAATGTGAAAATGCAAACAGTTCCAGGCAGACCCCAACCACCCGTCAGGTAGGCATCCAGTCGGCGCTTGAGGGATTCAGACTTCCCGGATCACGTCTTCAAGAGGAGCGTTTCAGGAGTAAAAGTTGTGCCAGATATCTAGCCTGCTATGTCCCAGGCTTTGTTTCTGTCTGGATCCCCTAACATTAGTGCCGCAGCTAGTATTTTGTACGTCGCTGAGTGAGCGACTAGGCGTGCTCAGAATGTTGTGAGTTATTATCAGGTCCCCTCTCAGCCTTCTGTATCCCAGAAGATACGGATCCGGCACAACCAGTCGTTCTTCGCACGTTTTAGACCTAAGTCCCCGAACGGATTTTGTCTAGCGTCTATGGGTGCGCTCAAAACTTAGCTTGTCCTTCTGGGGAGAAAGGGGAAGACGGTGATCCCGAACTCCAGGTGAGGCCGTATGAAGCTGTAGAAAATTTGGTAGGAACATCTACGATCGGTTATCAGAGCCAAGTTTTCGCGAAGTGCGCTTCTGTCACGGTTGGCATAGGGTTTCTGGCTTTAAGATCTTCAAGTTCGATGTTGTTGGGGCTATATGCATGAGACGCATCATGTTTTACGTGTGTCGTCTCGCATTTCACAGGATTAAATATTGGCCTATCGTTGACTGCCCGGTTGTGAAATTGAGTTAGGTCTTCATGTAGAGAAACACTGTCTTCTTCACCTTTGACTTATGTCTAGAGTTTCATGTTGTGAGCAAAAAGAAGGATTTCGGAAGAAACCTGTTGAGGTAAGTCATTGATGCATACTGGAAAAAGGAGAGGCCTTAGTACTAAACCTTGGGGAACACCAGTAGTACGTTCTGTTTCTCCAGACAGAGAATTTCACTCAAGCCCTAAATGAACGACCTCTTAGATATGAAGACAACCGGTCGATCAGTGGAGGTCGAATCTTGATTAATTTCAATTTATCAAAAATGCTTGATGGCAGGCGAAATCTAGAGATTCCTTGGTGGGAAGATTGCCGCTCATACTGCCCAACATAACCCTCAGGGTGGTCGTTCTGTTGTCATAGCACACGGCATGAGTTCCTGAATGAACTTCATGACTGGCCAGGAAGACTGGAAACCAGTGCACATCAACTTCCTCGTCCTCGGAAAAGAAGTAACTACGTTGTGAGCAACGCCCTTATCCAAAAGTTACGTTGACGTGCGTCGATGAACCGCTGTCTGCTTGAACAAAAACATGTTTCTTATGCAGTCCATTCTTTTCCCCGGTGAACACGACATGTTCCAAAAAACCGCGTTGATGAGATGCATCCCAGGAAGCCTCCCTGGGATTGCTCCTGTTGTTGCCCTTCATTGGCGATCTATAACAAGAACTTGCTTTCCAATCCTTTTCGCTAATGGGATGCACCCTTGGGGGGGGGGGGGTGGCAAACTAGTAGGCTGGCCGCAGCGTATGTGAGGGTCACTTGTTACAGCTTGGCATCTGGTTGCGGCCTGGAAACATTCGAGGTTGTATAAACAAGGACCCACAAAGCAAGGACTGCAGAATGCGAATACAAGTTGAGTGATCGGGCCATCACCAAAGTGTTCACAGGATAAGATCTAGGACTCAACTCCAATAATATACCAAGGACGTGTTTCATTCTGCAAGCCCAGCGCTGATGGCTTGATGTCCCTACTCTAGAACTCTTCCTGAGTTTCAAACTTGCATATACGGTCTCATCGGAAGTGCTTAACCTAATAAGACACCTCGCGCCCAGATTCTCCTCCGTTTCTCAGAAAATGCGACGATTTCAGGCGAAGGAAGTTGCAGGGCTAGGTGGAGAAATATGTCCTGAGGATCTAAAGAACTCAAAGCTATTGGCTTCTGGCTGCCACAGAAAGGTGACTCGCATTATTAGGGCCTACAAGATCATCCAGGAAGCAAGTAATGCGAGCCAACCGACCTTGCTTGCGACGTGGCGGTCACTGTGAGGGAACCACGTCAGAAAGCCACGTTAGGGAGCTAACATCAAACTCAAGTCAAACTTCTTCTTATAAGTATGCGCTTCATGGAAGGCTTTCCTGTCGTATGCTAGTACAGACCTCCCAGTAGACTCATTTAAAAGGTTAGAAAGTTATATCTTACGTTTAGTTCCCCTGACAGGTTTGAAGAAGGCAAGAGCAAAGGGTTTGCAGAATAAAATGGACTCATTTTATTTCACGGCATTTCATCAACTTGAAATGGCCTACAACTGAAATGAAGCACTCTTTTTTGATTCCACCATCTCTTCACCAGTTACTGACGGTTAATCATTCAACCTGGGGCTTTTCAGGTTTTTCATGCAAGCACCTGACCTACCGGCTCTCAAACAACTCCATAATCTTGCCTGTTTAGTGTTCCTCCCTGTTCAAAGCTCCCGACTTGCTTATGTGATCAGAAGTATATTGCAATGATTTTTACTAAGGTTTGTGATCATTTGTCCCGCGCTTCCTTGACTCACTGCCCTACTACTGATAGTGGATTTCTACGTGCTTAAAGTTTATTATGTCTTCATTACTACTTTTACTTCCTTTCAGTTGTGGGCTGTTTCAAGATGACGGGAAGCCACCGAACAAAGCGATCTTACTTCATTCTGTGAATGTCTATTATTGCATTCTTGAAAATGGAGTCTCTTCAGACGGCTTACAAAGGCCTAATTCAGCAACCTAATTGCGGATGTGATCGACAAGCACTGAGTGTCGATTTCGCTACCTCCTCACCGCTTACCTCTTTTTATTCGCTCCTTAGTTTTTTCATTCTCCCTCCTACTGTCGAATTCTTTCCCACTCAAGCGGTTACCTCGGATTTTTCATATAT